CGATCTTTGCCCGTATTAGTTCGGCATCCGCCTGACTTTTCGTCGCCGCATCCTCCTTCTGCTGCTGCAAGGCTTGGTATAGCTTCTGGGTGACCGCCAGGTGTTGTCGGAGGGCGGTGTTCCTATCCACATATACTTGGCACCTAGAGGCCCACCTTGCCACCTTGCTCCTCGTCCTTCGCCTGATAGTCTCCACATAAGACTGCGGTTTTAAGGCACTTGCGTATTTGGATGTCTTGCGATCCAGATATCGCAGGAGTGGAACTATCTGTTCGCACAGCACCCCTGTTGGCGTTTTTTGCACCGAATCCGCTTCTTGCTCTTCCGAGCTCGTATCATCCTCAGTCTCGAGGATTTCAGTCGCCACCGAATCCCTTGGCGACTCCCTGGAACTGTGGCGCGCAGCAGCTTCCGCTGCGACTGCTGCTCCACTGCCTGCTAAAATATCCAGGGCAGTGGGAGATCCCACTGCTTGAGCCCCTGTTCCGGCTCGATCTTCGGTTTGTGAAGGGGTCGACGCCGCAGTGACTTTTGTCACTCTTGCACCGCCCGCTTCTGCTGCCTGTCCTTCCGGCGCAATCTGCGCGGAAGGTGTCCTTGCTGAAGGTGCGTCCGCCGAAGGCGTCCGCACACTGGTCGTTGGCCCCATCCGTCTCGCAGTCGGCGAATCCGGCTGACTCTCTGTTGTCCGACTCGCAGTCGGCCGACCAGTTGTTGTCCGACTGGGAGTCGGATACACCCTGCGCGTCTTGACTCCACTTGGCCTGCTTGCTGGTGGCGTTCTTCAGGAAGTGCCTTCCGCCGAAGACGACCCTCTGAGGATTGTTGGCTCGTCAGCCAAACTCTCTTCCGCTTCCGGCCTGCTGTCCGGTTCAACGCGCCGTTCAGTTGGCCTTCCTTCCGCTTGTCGACCTTCAGTCATCCGACTCGCAGTCGGCCGGCTGTCAGTCCGTCCATCTCCTCCCGAAGGCCGTGGTGCCTTCTGAGCAGAGGTATCTGCCGTCTTCCCTAGGATCTGCGCGATTATCTCTTCCTGTGTGGGATTCCGCCGGGTCGGAGTACGCCTGGTCTCCTCAGTAACAGTTGGCATTTTGCGTGCCCTCTGTTTTGGTCGACTGTGAGGCTCGGGGGTGGGCCGACCACGAGTCGGCGCAGCTGGCACTTCCGGCTGCCTGTCCTCAGGTCTCTCATCCCACTTCCGCTTTCGCGGAATGCGCTCACTTCGACGTTCTTCTGCTGCTCTTGCTGGAGCCGGAGGCGTACTGGCAGGTTCCTCGTCCGGATCCGTGTCTACTTCGGCCTCCCTTGAATATCTACCTGGATAAGTCCGGGTCAGCTGCGGAAACCGAGTTTTCTCAGCATTCGTCAAACATCCCATCGCCCGGTAAAACACGATTAAGTAAGGCGATAGATGATTGAGGGTTCCTCCCTTCTCTTCTTGCGCATGTTGGCGCGTCACCTTCCACAGGAGCCGTGCCCAATGCACCGGAGCTCCTGACAGCACTAGCTCCACAAACTCTACCTGCCAACCATGCATGTAAGCGGTCTTGGTCAGCTGCAATATCTGCAGCAATGCCGTCGCGACATTTCTCCGCAATCGATCCTTGTAATCCCGTGTCCGGAAACCGTTCTTGGGATGTCTGGCAACTTTGAAGAGCTCATTGTAAGAGACTTCTTCCTCCTGGGACACCTTCACGCTATCGGCCTCGAAGAGGAGATCCCCTTCCTCGCCGGCACACCTGCCCAACACCTGCGCCCAATTGCAAATGTCCCATCTCTCTGGGTGTGGGCGGAATCCGCGAGAAGGCTTGTGTTTCTCCTGCAGATACTCGCGCACCATCTCCGGACATGTCCAGTTCCACCCCCATAGGAGAAAATCGAGCTTCAGCCTCAGCAGCACATCTTGAAATGCGCGTAGACCGATCTGCGGCACCCTGAGTGGAGACACTCGTAGCTGGGGAACCTTCGACATTGCGTTGCCTGCACACACACAAACGTTCTCCCTTTCGCTCGCTCTCTCACAATCGCCACTGCGCGTCGGCCACTCAAGCACTGACTGCTCACTCTCTCTGCGCTCGTTCAAGATCGCTACTCACAATTCTTTCAAGGTCCGCCAAGATCCTTGCGCAACTCGTCTCCGCACTCTCTACTCTCACTGCAGGTCGCTCCGCCCTTGCGCGTAATCTTGGAAACTGGAAATCGCAAAGTCAAGAATGAGAGAATGAGACTGGAGCGCAGTCTTTTCTTCTCCGATTTCAAGAACGTCCAACGTTCTTACTGGTTGCAACGTACGCAGCCGGCTATACGGCTTAACGGTTCGCCCTTTGCATGCGCGAATTCACGTCTCCGCACTGCGCGCATTCGCATGCTTAAACGTTGAATTCTCCCGCCGCCGCCACCTTCCGGACTCGAGTCCGCTGCAGGGTATACGTCGGCCCTGGCGGGTCGCCGCTGGTGCGTTCATTATCCGTCGGCGCCTTGCTGGAGGCGCACATCCAGCCGGAGCGAATTACGCCGGCGCGCAGTCGTACCGCCTATTTTGTCCTTTATGCCTCGTCCGTTGCTGCCGGCGTATATCTGTCGGCGCAACTCATGCCAGCGCATCCGGCCGTCAGCGCCACATCGGAGGCGTACATCCGACCGGCGCTTTCCTTCCATGAACAGCCGCCAAAGGCGCTTCCGACTCTGAGTTGGTTTCCTCCTATGAGCGCGTGATTCCGCCGAAGGCGCATCGCCGAGGGCGTACGGGAATCCTTTCCGGTTGTGAACCCTAGCGCGAACGGCGCATGTCCGGCTACGAGTTTTCCGACGCTCATAACTTCTCCATTCCTGATCCATCTCCGACGCTCTTGGACTCGTTAGAACGAGCGTCCCGAGTTCTCTCTAATGCAACTTCAACCAACTGGATCTACCGTGTATCCCGATTGTTATGAAGGTTTCCCCTTTCCGCGCTAGCGGCGCTTCGCCGAAGGCGCACTCATGGTCGGACGCCTTTAGAGGTCCGGGCCCTTCTCCTGACGTCTTTAGCAAAACCTCCTCCTGAGGTGTCTGCGCCGGAAGCGTAGCTTCCTTATACGCTGGAGGCGCGTGAGTAGAGACACCTCAAAAAGGAGCTTTTGCCGAAGGCGTCGAAGACGTTGGCGTTGGTACATCCGACTACATGATTCTTTGTGCCCTCGTGACGATCTCATCAATCCACTCTATTTAGCGTACCCTTCTCTAGCTACAAACACTGCTTTGGTACTAGTTTTCTAAAATTGTTTAAATTCTGCAAAAAAACAAAAAAGTGTGTTACCACACGAATACAAACCTGTCAACGCGCATCATTAAATATCTGAATATTTAATTCGATATTTGATACAAACTGATAATATAATAAGAAAAAATATTTAACCCAATTCCATGGTGGCGACACCATGAGTCCGCCAGCGACTGCAATTGTGCTGCATTCACAGATGCGGGTGGGGGGAAGTGGAAAGAGGTGATGGATATCAGCTCGATGAGTTAGACGTCGCTGACTGTAACCAACTTTCTCTATCATTCTTCCCGATAAATTTATTCTGTAGGAGGACGAGGAGTGCATGCCAACGTTTACTCTGACTGAATCCAGAGAAGGAGCTCGTCGGCCTACCAATATTCGAACCAACCGAATACACTGCAGCTGACTTCACTTTGGAAGTACAGTCTAATTTCCTGTAAGTAGACCTTGGTGGAGAATAATCCTTACTGTAGAATATTGAACACCGTTACTGGTAGCGCACAAGCAATCTTCCGTTGTGGACAAACTGCTGCTTCCGAACTGCTGCCACTTTGTGGCAGCAGTTCGGACTGCTGCCACAAAGTCCACAATTGTCAAAGCTAAAGGGTGGAGATAGAGCTGTTGTGGACTTTGTGGCAGCAGTCGGAACAGGACCCAAGGAGCCGATGCAGAAGGTAAAATATACGCCCGGATCTGAATATTATTTCAATGAGTAAATTGTACCTGTGTTCTCCACCTTTTATTGTTGGAGAAATTTGGTGTACTTATTTTCTGTCTTTGTAATTGGTATGGACCTTCACAGGTAAGCATTCGGATGCCATCCGGTCGTAACCCTGTTATTGGAGACAAGTTCAGTATTCGGCATGGACAGAAGGGTGTGCTCTCACAGCATATTGACATGCCATTTTCAGCTGTTACTGGAATGCGACATGGTCTCATTATCAATCCCCACGCCTTTCTATTCCGTATGACGATGCTCTTGTAATCAATGGCTGCGAAGGTAACTCCTGAAACGAAGTTATAGTGCTATTCGATGATCAATCATCTGACGTTTTAGGTAGGAACAATGCGGTGCGTTTTGTTTATAAGAAACAGGATACGTCAGGTTTACGAGCGGCTCAACTTTTCTCAGGTTGGCGTTTTAAAGGGAAGATTATAAATGCTACTCCATTTCAAAAGTGCGTTGCCCACTCGAAGAGCAGCCATAAAAACAAGGATGAGTCTCTTGTCGACAAGTATGGAAAGCAGTTGAAGGAATACGGTTTCAATTACCATGGCACAGAAGTCATTAAATTGCATCTAACTTACATCGTCACATATCATTGAAATTCTTTAACACCTTGCAAAAATTTAACCGGAATCTGCTCCAGGCTAAACATCTTTGGATCTAAGACTCAATTCCACCCTACAGATCCTAAAGCACAAAAAAGTTCATGGCCACGGAAATTTGCAACAGAGAGCTCGGACCTTCGTTGGTATGATGAAAGAAGTAGTCGACATGGGAAGCAGGAAACTGCAGAACGGAGAGCTTGAATGAACCGACTTCAGAGCTTAGTAAGTTTGACGGAATTGTGGACCAACCTTTTTGCCATGATGCCAACCCTGTGCAGAAGAATGAAAGCATCTAAAGATCACCACAGGACCTGGTGATGGAGGGAATATTAGACATCATACGTAACGGGAATATTTTCATATTACACTCATCGGTTAATCGGTTCCTGCAGGCACGGCATCTGATCTCATCGAGGGGCGAAAAAGCGCAACACACTGCAGTTTAATTCTCATCGAGGCGCTTCTCACAGAAAAAAAGAGCCTTTGATAAACAATCGCCTCATTCGCCTTCGATGGTCGATATGACACCACTCTGTCAGGAGGATATTTCCAATTCAGGAGATAATTAATTTACAAGACTGCTGCCAAAATCTTCCTATGAACTCCTCTCGATCGCTCATAAACTAATGGTTTCCCTATACAAAAAAGAGTCACCCTCGGCCGTCGCTCTACAGTTGGTAACAGAAAATGCCACTGTCTGTCGACAATGGACATCATGAAATTCCTGATTTCATTGCTGAGCCTGGGGTGCTACAACTATCGAGCTCGGAACATCGCGAGGCAGTTTCTGAAGTTCAGATTCCAGCTTCACAGGCAGGAGGAGGAGGCTTCATGATGAACTGCGGTCGCTCTCGGCTGCATGAGCCTCAGAGTCTGCGTCGCCTACCGCCCGAGGTTTTTCTTCTTCATTTGGATTGGGAGGTTCGGATTCAGAATCGCGGTCAGGAGATTTAGAAATGCGTTCCGCAGCCGGAGGGTCCGAGCCATGCCGATCGTCGTCAGGAGCATGAGAATTCTCAGCCGAGGCCGAATCCAGCCCGCCGCTGTGCACCATGAGCGTGAGCTGCGCGGGGAAGAAAGGCTCGAGGAGCCCGTAGCTCACCATGGCGTTGAAGGCGACGAGGAAGAGCCACTTGGCGACGAGAATGGCGAACGAGCGAACGACGAGATTCTGAAGGGGCCCGATCAAGGATGTGAGCGTCCCCAGGTCCCCCCCGCCGCCGTTGTCCATGCGGCAGAACCTGAAGGCGAAGCAGAAGAGCTCGCGGGCGAGGGCCGGCTGCACCACGAACCGGTCCACCGAGTGGACAACCTGCGATCGCCGGTCAGTCCACCAGGCCGAGTGCTCGCGGAAAGTCGAGCTCCGAAGGCCGACCCACTCGCCCACGTTGTAAATCAGCCCGTCCAGCACGTGCCGGTATACCTTGCGCCACGAGAGGAAGACCAGCAGTCCCCCGCCGACGGAGAAGATCAAGCACTTGACCACGTACTGCACGCCCACCCCGCCCAGCTGGTCCCGAGCCTGCTGCCGAACCAGCCAGAACACGCCCAGGAACTGCGCCAGCAGCTCCAGAATGTCCCGGACCGTGAACACCACGTCGTCCAGGTCACCGCACAGGCTTACGTGGTACCAGGACACTGCGCCCCCGAAGAGTAGAGTAAACGTCAGGGCGGAGTCGCTCTCGTCGCGTGCCGCGACGAGAGCCCACAAGGCCAGCACGAAGCACGAGGCTACGGCCCGAGCCGCGAAGTCGTAGAGGACCGCGAGGCGCTCGGTGTCGACGATCCACCGGACCTGAGGAGCGGACCCGAGCCAGCGAGGCCTGGGGCTCTCGAGCCACTTGTGGGCGTGGATCCGGATGTCGAGCTTCAGGAGCTCGATCTTCTCGGGGATGCACCACGAGCAGAACATGTACATGCCGAGGCGGATGCCCAGGCGCTTGAAGTCGAAGACGAGGCTCGGGAGGCTGAAGCTGTTCTTCGAGAAGGTGTTGAGGCCGAAGAGCAGCAGCTCCCGAGCCACGGTGGGCATGCCGACGAGGCGCATGCTGGCGCTCCCGAGCTCCAGGTACGGGTCGGTCCGGCGGTCCGGAGAGTACTGGAACCCCGCGGACCCGACCCCGATCCACTCCCCGACCCGGTCGAAGGCCCGCGTCAGGCCCACGTAGATGATTCTCCAGGCCAGCAGGAGGACGAACCCGCCGCCCACCGAGAGCAGCAGAAACTGGCCCAGGCCCAGCTCGCCGCGAAAGATGTCGCGGCCGGCGGCGAACTTGCTCACGACCCAGAGCCCCAGGAACTTCCCGGCGAGCTCCGGCACGCCGGCGACGATGGGGTGCTCGGCCTGCGGGTCGGCCCCGTAGACGCCGATCCACCAGTTCAGGCCGCCGCCGAACAGGCTCGTGAAGGCGGCGAGGCTCTTGAGCAGGTCGCCGGCCACGGTGCTCCAGGGGACGCAGCAGTCCTGGCAGTCGTCGGACGAGCTGCCCGACTGCTGCTGCACGAAGCGCACCCAGATCGCCACGAGGAATGTGAGCCCGGTGATTCGAGCCAGAATGTCGTATGTCACCGCCAGCGCCGTGGTGCTGATCTTCCATCGCACTCGCGGCGTGATGTAGGCCGCGTTCCAGCGCGGTCGAGGCTGCTCGATCCACCGCTGCGTGTACAGCACATCGTCCCACCACGCCCTCGCCGTGCTCTCGATCCTCACATCTCTGTTCGTCGCCTGGAACTGGTTCCTCATCATGCTCGCGTTCCAATCCATCGCGGCTCGGCTCAATAATCAATGCCACACACAATCGATCGATCGAGCAAGCAAGCAAACAAATATGCACACGAACAACCAGAATTGCAGGCTTGCAGGCTTGCTGATCGACGATCGATTGGACGAATGAGGAGAGACAATTTTACGAGGGTGGTGTCCAAATTATCTCCACCTTCACCTTCACCTCTGCCTCCTCCGCCCAAATGATCATGGTCGGAAGCTGAAGCTCCACATAGATGGGCTCACATTGCTAAGTCGAAGAAGAAGCCCATCCATGTAGAACGAGAGCGTGGGTATGAAAGTGGAAGCAACGTCGGGCATGTTCTTCTTTCAGCATCTTCATGCTTCGAGCGGATGATGATCGATCAGTCGCTGCTGAAACCATCGTTCTCACCTGCGGCATATTACTATGTCCAGGAGCAGCACCTGTGTTCGTTTGCCCTCAGCTTCTTCTCGACGCAACACTAATGTCGCCCACTTCAGATTTCGGAAGCGACTGTACTGATTATGAGGAACGCCTAATCTCTTCGTGGTGCCTGTGTCTATGTAATAGACTCTCTATCTAACTGTCTACACCAGATCTAGATCTATGGGATTTGACGAGAGCACAGCTCCTTGGTTTTGAGCGAGGTGAGTGAGCACAGTTCGAAGGTGGAATTGAACAAGCAAAGCGCTGGGACAGCGTGCAATCCAAGCATGAGTTCAACACGTAGGATAGAGTGCAGGATCGATGATTCATGACACCGTTTTCTCAGAATAATGCGTTCGATGGAATTTATCATACCGTATTTAGCTCCTCACATGAGTGCAAGGATGGACAGTGCAAGAGAAGTAGGGAATGCGTGTGTCGCGAGTCATAGATCTTGCACTCTCGATCCACGATCTCTGCAGGTGCAGCACAACCTGCAGCAGTTTACGTCCAGATTCTGCATCTGTGCTCCGTGCGCGGCTGCTTTCGGTGGGGTCAACTCACATGCATATGAACTTGCAGTTAGTCCTTTGCTGACTAGCTCTGCCTCCCTCTGTCTCGGGCTCCCCTCAGCTCAGAGACGGGTTACAACCCTTGCAGCTGTGGATCAACATCTCCTTTCCATCTCCAGGTCTTTTGGCTTTGTTCACGTTGACTTAAGGGGCGACGTTCACAGATGCGTTTCTCTGCTATAGATCGTTTCTGCTTAGACGTCTGGCGGTATTGGCCTCAGAACGTGGACGAGCATTGTTACTCTCCATGACCTGGATGACAACTGTCACATCTGCTTACGGGTCTGTAAAGACCAACTGAATCTTCCGAGGCTTAGGAAGAAAGTCACCTTCCTTCCATCATGACGATCATCACTTCTAGAGGGAAGACGTACTTCTTCAAAGTACAGGGAATTTACTGTCTATTTCCCAAAGACGATGACCTCACTGATTTGGTGTACCACGTATCTCGGCGTGAGTAGTAGAGGAAGGTGGCTGATGAATGGCCATGGACACAGCAGGCGCCGAGCAAAGTGGGAAAGAGACGAGGCGGCAGCTGGGGCATATGAGGCAGTAGAGGAGATCGTGTTTCTCCGGGATCTGGATGTGATCCAGGAGTGCTTGGTAAGCGATGATGTGTGGTTGCGGAGAGGAGAATTGACTTCTGATTCGCCAGTGTTACTGCTCTGGATTCTCAGGATTCAGAGTTTTTCTTGTTCACAAATGGGGACTTGTTAAAAGCTTCTTGGATCCAGTGCTCTCGGAGGTCAACTCATGTGTCGGATCAATGGGAGAGCTGACTGAGCACGTCAACCAAGTTCATTGCCGGTCGTTCATTGATTTGTTTCTGCTGCTTGTCTAGCTCGCAGTCATCAAAAAAGGTATAAGCACTCACGATGCCGTGGTGCATATTGACCTCCATCAACAGTGACATCCTTACTGTATGATTGAGGGTGTGGGCAATATCGTAAGCACGGGCTCCAACATGCATGTAAGTCACACACACGAAAGTTACTTCTCACTCCTTGCCTAAAATGGTGTTTCGTATCTAGATTTCCTCATAAAATTGGAGGTTTCCGAACTCCAAACTGTCAAAGCTTCGAGTATATAACACACCTTGCTAGCTCAAAGCTCGAAAACCTCGGGCTTGCATCATTTCATGTTTACTTATGTCAAGATGGTTATCTATTCACACTTCGGGTGCTTAGACACCATCATATCCAAGCAGCAAAATCATAGTACTTGATTCCCGACCTATACATCGAAGTTGCATATCTTTTGGCTTTTTTTGCTGTTCTGATGAACAAAACGAATTCATAACCCCCAAATCCTAAAATATGAATTGAATTCGTAATCCGCTTTCTGCCAACTGCTGGGTCGTCTGATGGGCATCTGGAGAGTATACTGAAATCTGATATGGTCAGTGATAGTTCATCACTTCACTCGATGGGTTGAATGAGGCCTTTCCAACTTTTACTGTAATGCATCGTCAAGTCCATCGGTGGAAAACCTGGTTCAGTTCCTCGGCTTCTCAGGTAGGATCTACCTGTACTTCAGAAATCCGAGATCATCAAGTGGATCTTACCTGAGAGTACAACTCTGTTCTAGTTTCCCATGAAAACTTCAAATGGTCGGCAATGAATACACTGTCGTCTATTCACCACAACATGCCTTCAAGTTCGGAGGATCCATCCTCGCTCCGAACCACACGAGAGCATTAAGCAAGTAGTGTTCCAGATGTAATGAGAAGATCCCAATGATAAGTGGACCTGTGGACTTTTGCTTAGGAGAGAACATCACAAAGTTTCAATCGCAACTTCTACACAATAACTAACACAATTCACCATCCTTGTATTAAGTACTACATGAGGGGATGGACCCATACTAGAGAGGTCCTTAAATACTAACGAGTAAGCTTAGGGTTTAGGAAATTTCCCAAGAAACATCCCAATCCACTGTTTCGCAGATGTGACACACAAAACCCAGCTATGCCACTAAGACGTATAATCTTCAACTATCCGATTCACAACACACACCCACATTTATAGCAAAGTCCTACTCAAAATTTTCCTAATCTAACACGTTTACATAGTTTTTTTCAACTTGTCATGATTAACCCGATCTAGGCAATTTGTTACATCTAGATTGTGTAAAGAGTGAATACCATTTGTCCCAAAGATTTTTTTATTTCATAATGTCCAAACCACTTGGGTAGTATTTTTGTAAACTCTACAAAAATGCCTTGAATCGTATATCATCACCAAATCTCTGGTTTTGAACACCAAATCTCCAGTTTTGTGCACCCGCTTTTTTACCTTCGCATCCCACGCTTTCTTCATTTTTGCTTGAGCATCTTCAATAGCTTGCCTTGTTTGCAATTGTACCTCGTCCAATTCGTTAAATTGAAGTAATCACCGTTGTTGAGACTCATCCAGATACAACCTTGCTTTAAGAGCATTGGGAAGTTCATGAGTGAGTTTTTGCTTTGAGCATATTCATTTTTGTTCCAATTTGATTTCATAAGAATATTGACATCCTTAGATGAAAAGAAAATAATTATTTGATCATGGAGAGATGATAATTAGTGCTGAGATTATTTACTTTGAGTAATTACATCAAATTAAAGCAGTTTGTATAGGAATATTATCTTAAAGTCACTACAAAGAAAGTATTATCTAATCTAAGATGTGAACAATTTGTGGGTAGATATATGGTATGTGCTTATGTTCTAGCTTCATTTAAAACCTCTACACCATAGATAAAAACTATATTGATTATAGAGCTTGGTTATCTTTAGAATTAGTAATATATAGTAAATGTAATTTCTATCATAAAACATCATTATTATGCGTAAATCAAGCTTCATATACATCTATCAATATGTTATTCAAGCTTGAGCATTTATGAAAATTAGTTGAGTTGATGCTTGACAACTAAATGATGCAATTTAAACTTTTAAAACTTTGATTTATAAACCATGCATTTGGATTAAATGTGGAGTCATATAAGTGCTGAATTTTTTGAAAGATTTCAAAATTTGTATGATTGAATATGACTAAATCCTAATGCTAACTAAATTATCATCTTGCTAATACAGATATGTTTTAAAATTGAAGGGGAGAATAAAAAATTTTGTCTTCGAATAAAGTCATGTGAAAACAAGAATATCTGGATATTATGATTATCCATGACTTAGTTAGAAAGGAAAATTATAATTTCTTCTCAAAATTTTTCTAGATATGATGGAGATGTAGACTTACTTCCATAACATCTTCATGTTTGAACCAAGAGGGGTTCTCAAAATAGGTTCTCATGTCAAGATTTAAAATTATGTTTGATGCTTAACATAGTAGAATGTTGTCTTGTGCTATCGATTGATTAAAAATTTCAATTTGCAATGTTTATGTTGGTAGTTAAACTTAATTTTTACAAGCGTGAGCCTACCTCTCATATAGTGAGTGTGATCTTGGTTTAGAGTATGAAACAAAGAATTTATTCCATTGTATCCAGGGTTAACCTCCGTAGGTTTACATATCTAAAATAATAGGGTTAAAAGATATGATAATGTATACAAACAGAATGTTTTACCTCTGACACATTCTTTCAATGGCTGGCTGCATCCACTGCAGCAGCCACCATCGTCACTCAATATTGAACACAAGGGGTCACTGTCACGGAGGTGTCCATGAGCTCTCATTCGAACATTCACATCTTCGAAGATCGAAGATAATCCGAGTCCACAGATGAGGAACCGCGCGGATTGGACTGAATCCCGACGAGTCGAGATGAAGTAAATTCCGAATCAGAAAGAGTTGCAAACGAACAAACGGCACCAGATTAATGTCGTACATGCTTATGATTCTGGAAGTGGTTCTACGAATCAAAGAACAGAGGAAAATCAGCGACACATGATAAGCTAAATTCGCGAGCTGAAGAAGGCTTATTATGCAGATTTCATACGCTACATCTCTGAGATTCCGGTGGGTTTTGCAGCCTAACGCATTGCGTCTCTTGACTTTCGATCGACTGCTTCTGGAAGATTTCATCGTGATGTTCGTATCCGTATCCCTTGCTGCTCAATTTATGAAGATGGTCGATAGCAATATACGATCCCGACATGAATACAGAAGACCCCAAGAACGCACAGATCCATCTTCAGTCTGTGAATGCCGTTCATAGATCGATCGAAGAAAATTGCCACGAAGTGAAAGTGATGATTGTGGTAGAGCAGTGCAAGGGCGGATTACAAGAGCTCACCAGCAGCCTCGGCAATGCATTGAGTTGTGGCAGCTGGAATTCGCCCATGGATTGATACCTAGGCGTAATTTGTGATCGATCGACACAATTAGCCGAAGGGTAGAGCTCGTTTCGCTCTTCTTACATTTCCCAGAAGGGCCCTAGCCACAGGATGGATTTTGGAGTATCCAAATAAACTGAGGATCAATCTCCACATGTTTTCAATTTACGCAATTGGAAGCCAGTACCTTCAAAACTTAGACAGACAAGCCCAAACATTTCGAAGCATAGCACATGGAGACCGTCGACTTCCGATGTACTCATGTCCAAGCGATCGGGCTCGTATGTCATCGAAGTTTTCGAATTTACTGGTGGAACTAATCGAGTGAAATCTGAGCAGCCTCAGGAGAGGCGACTCAGTCAGTCGTGGGAGATGACCAGAATTGAAGAGCATCAAGAATCCGGACCAGGAAGATCAGCTTCAGTGGGCTCGACGCGAGCGAGCTCACCGGGAGAGCAGGGCACCATAGATACTCCGAGCACTTACGATTCAGATGGACAGGTGGAGGAAGATCGACCTCCGCCGCCAGCCTACATCACATTACCAGTGTCACCTTTGAAGAGGCGCCTCGTGATTCTGGACATGAATGGTCTTCTGTGCCACATCAACCACAACAAGTGGTTCCGAACCAACAATGTGGTGCCGCACGGGAAGCTGGGAGCTCACAAGTCGTGGGTCGCGAGGCCGCACTTGTGCGAGTTTCTCAGGGAGGTGACGCAGGTCGTGGACCTGGCCATTTGGACGAGCAGGACAGAGTCCAATCTGGCCCGACTTCTGCAGCAGATGTCGGCCTACTTACCTGAAAACTTCAGCGAGACGATATGGCAGCTTTTGGATCAATCATACTGCTATCCCCTGCCTCAAGCCGACGCCAATTATCCTCTGTGGCTCAAGCCTCTGAACATCATCGAGGAGATGAGTGACCACAAGGTGGCCAACTGCTTGCTCGTCGATGACTCGCCGCTCAAAAACGCAATGAACCATCCCCATAACGCCATCCATCCGCCCACTTTCTCTCCCTTGAAACAAGACGACGATTACCTCTCGACTTATCTCTTGCCGTTCTTGAAAAAATTCGCCCGATCCCCTCAACCTGTGACACATTTCGTGCGATCCAACTGGCCAGAATCCTCCGACGTTTTCCGACTTCTTGCAAACTATTGGGGCAAAAACCTTCCCAGTATACTCTTCTCTCAAGTCAGGGATCAGGCTGAAGTAGAAAAGCTGCGACAGCAAGTTCTTGCTGAAGGAGACATGGCTGCAGCAGCAGCAGCCGAGCTTTAGTCCCATATTTTCACGATAAATTGGGCTGGATTGTGGTGCATGACAGAATTAGCAGATCAGTTCCTCTTTGCTGAGGAAATGTAAGGAGAAGAGTGCTCAATGAGCTCCACTTGTGAGTTGAAACTCACTCGAAATCCTAGCCAACATGTATATAGGAACTTCTGGATGTGAGGAATAAATGCCTACATCAGAGTTCATTTCCAGACGTGCTCTTGGATGCTATGAACAATTTTCACGAAAACTCTGTAGCCGTCTGTTCTAAATTTCTGAAGTGCTTTCCTCGTTCCGAGCTTCCTGCTCGCGTCTCCTCCTGAAATTCGCTTTGAATGTTCAAAAGTGCAGAGTTTGTTTCTACCCTACCGCACTCATATAACATTCTCTTTTCAGAATTCTGCCAGCTTCGATTTATCCTGACGGTTATGTCTCGGAGTCAAATCTTCTCGCACATGCGACCCGCCTGACGTCTAGAGTGCGCTTTGCCACCGCTGGAAGGATCAGAGCGTGCATCTTCATACTATACCTTCTTGCAAGTTTCATGTTTATCCTTGATATTCTGATTCATACGTGCACTGTGACTTGTATGACTGACTAACTCATGCCTCCATGGTGCTCATCCTGGTGCTGCGAGCAAGTCAAGCGTGTCCAGAAAAAGGTTCACAATCTCTCTGTCTAACGTGAACTTGATAGGTTATCCGTAGCCCGTCATAATGACAAGGATTTTGCACAGGAGTATTGTGGGTGTCCATGCTCGTCCGCGAGTTTGTAAAAGGTGATAATCACATCATACTCGCTCGAGTGATCTGTTGGGATACCTACCGACAAGGTCACCAGATGGAAAATTTCTGTAAGAAAGCTCTGGTTCCTGAATTTTTGTTCCTGGTGTATCGTTAATACTTCTTGGACCTTCTGATTGACAACTCGTGGAGTCCAAGTCCTCGCGATTCAGGTTGAGCCCAGTCGTGTTGGTCCTCCGCAGAGATTCATCGAATTCACTACACTTGGCTGCTATTGTCACCTGAGCTCTGCAGTCCTGCGGGGTTCAGCTCAGCTGCAGACTCAGATCGAAACAAGCAGCGACAATGTTTTCATGAGAGAGAAGATGCCGATCCTGTACACATCGACAATGTTACATCGATGGCGCTGCGAGACGCGACAAAGCTGCGCACGTTTGTTCTGACCGTAGCGGCTCAGAAAGAACCCGCTCGCCAAATCCAATAGTTGTGTCCCAGCTCTTGATCCAAGAGCTGTACTTTGAGAATCTCTTTGGGAGGAAGTTTATCACTCACTAACAAGAATTGCCTCTCAGTTACAGAAACATTTGAGAGGCTTCGATTGAACTGATCAAATCGATGAAGTGATTTCAGCACAACGAGCAGCAACTCACTAAGGCTCCAAGCCATCAAGCTGAGTCCATATTGTGAGATAAGCAATATTCATTAGAGGAAATCCACCATATCTACCAACTTGAACAGTTCTGATTCTGAGGACTCTCTCATCGATTCCGAAGATACCTTCGGTGAGGCCCACAAATTGATTGGCGTGTGGACTGACGTCTAGCTTTTGCTCACACACGGGGAATCATGCCCGTGCCTAGGTTGGGAATTATAAAACTCTGCACTAGTGTAATAGTCAGTACCTTTTAGTGCAGATTCGAACAGTTGGCCAGTCGATGCTCTCCGGACTAGTCACATCACAGTCCATGTCCCTCATCAAATTTGACCAAACGGATGTGATGACATTTGTACGAGACCGCGTGTGCGCAAGTCAAGCGCCAATTGAATAATTTCTTTTCAACAACTCAGTCTTCGGGTTTCTCGTCACCTCTTGCCCCTTGCTGGCAAGACTTATCCGAAGAAATATTGACCTGGGTACACTTGAGTACACATCTTCACCAGATGTGGTGTGCTCACTGGCGACGTCGGTCCGCTGCAGTGACCAACATCGGGAAAATAAATGTCCACTTTTCCGGAATCGATTGTGGATAATCGGGCAAGCCAAAAATAAGCGTAGAAAATACCTTTGCGCGAATGGCATAATTGATCCATACTTTATCTGGAGCAGGAATCGTGGAGGCATCATGGAATCACGAATCATCGACTGAACTGGTCTATAAGTTGGCATTCTCGAACTCGAGAGCTTCAGGAATTGCAGTTGTGAGGACTTAATCACTGACTGAACTTCAGAGAGGTGGAAGGCTGAAGAAGTTCGACAGGTTTTACATGGAGTTCGAGAGAGCTGGAACCATGACCGTCTTCGTGCTTGCATCTATCTTTCTGACGGGTGCGATGTACGCAACTCCTGCAGCTGCGGGAGAAGGGCCGGCATTCGACAGTGGCCTGCAGTTGACTGACCCCGGAAAACTTGGTCTTGTCAGCCAAGCATCGTACTATACTGCACCATACGTCCGTAAGTAATTTACTCTCTGACCCTTGATGATTTTTACTGTCTACCAGCCTTCAACATTGTCGTCCACATGCTGCTCGCAGATGTTCGTGAGCTAGCAAGAAGAAGAAATCTCATTCCCGATCTTTAAACAGATTCCTTGATTTAAGATGACGCTCGGTAAGTCTGATGTTAAAGTTTCTACAGAATACAGGGTTCATATCAGTAACATGGTCAACAACTACTCGAGGAATGTGACTTATAGAAGATTGTGATCTTTATACAGCTTCGAGTGTACAAACACTCCTCCGCTTGCCCTGTGTACATGCTACCCATGGATTGGTACCACACATTCTAATCAGAGTACCGATGGAAATTAAAACGTATCTACATTCGTTGGCTCCTTCATAAGTAGGCCTGGAATGATAGGACTGCCAAGTCCCACTGATGCACAATCGAAGCCTATAACTGAATGAATGATTGATGATGGAATGACTGCACTACGAGCAGCGATATCTAATCGAAGAAATGGTGCTCGAATCGTCCTTCGATGAGTAGAATCGTGAGCTTGAGTCGTTATCCCGCCGGTTGCAATTTGTTCTGAAGTGACTATCTTTGCGTGCGGAGTGCTGCCAGTGGAGCCATGAAGACGATTAATTTTTCTGAGTTTCGGCTTGTATGATTATGATCTGAACAGCGAGTGCGTGCTACGGGTTCGACACAAGCCAGTTCCCTGCGGGCAACATAATGGCAGCGGGCGGTGACGGAGCTCCCAACATCTGGAACGGCGGCGCCAACTGCGGCAGGTACTTTGGAATCGACTGCAACGGAGCCGGATGCTGGCAGGGTTCCCACCACATCGACGTCAAAATCGTCGATCGGTGCCCGAACGGCTGCTCGGGAGGACGAGCGTTCGACCTGACGTACGAGGCCTTCGGAGCCATCGCCAACCACGACCAGGGTGTCATCACAGTCTTCTACGGCCAGAACCCCAACCCGCTGTCCGACGCTCAGTACTCATTCAACTTCTCCGGACTCGAGCTCCCTGCAGAATTCCAGATGTTTCAGCGATCCGGTGTCGTCCTCACCCAAGACGGGATCGCATAAGCGCCTCGTCTTCGAATGGCGAATGTCTTCCCCTGGCTCCATGGTCTGGGTCTCCTGAGGAACACTGAGTCCTCGATCCTGACAGTAATACGACGCAATGTCTGCCCTCGACTCGTTGGCGTCGTCTGTCTACTCCAAGAAAACACATGATCATAATAATGATAAACAAGGGAGACCGAGAGAGAGAAGCTTGTGTTTGAGTCTGTAATCAGCTTTCTGGTGCTGAAGGGGCTACTGAACTATCCTTTCGTCGAAGAAAACATCCATCCGCGTGGCAGTAAGGGCAACGCGCCCTCATGATTTGTTGTAACTTTGTGATGCTATATTGTTAGACCCTGGATACGGATGTCGTTTCATCTGAAGGGGTCTTCCCATCCATTTTGATGTTTACTTGGGCTTCCTTTGATTGTGCATTTTTGGGGGGTTGTTTTAGGACCAATCTTTCAAGTAACCAGAGAAAATAAAGCCCAAATCCAGTTCTCAAGCATCCAAGTGTCCATTTACTACGGCATCTGTTGTCATTACATCTGAATGTATTTCTCTTTCTACTTTATGATTGAAACCGTAATGTTGAGTTTCGGGCTACATCGCAAGTTGTTAACAAGCTTGCGAAGGCCATGATTTGTAATATGTACTCAGTTTCCATCAATGTGGAATCTGAGTACATATAGCAAATCACTTGACACTATCATTGATGGAAACTGAGTTAATATAGGAGTTATTGATAATCAGTGAGTATCAGTATTAAATATATAAATAAATTCATAATAAAAGGATGTTAGCATTTTTTTAATTAATGAAATTGGATCTTAAAACATTTTCTACTTATTTGGAAGATATTGACTGATAGTAACTGAATGTTCACACATTTCATGATTCAATTGATTTTTCGTCAAGAGTCTTCCTTTCAAAACAAAATGGAAATCACAATTATAAACATTTCCGTCTAAGGTAAATTAGAATCACTTCTTTTGAATTCAACGTAAATAATGTGAGAAATCATCTACAATGATGTGTGATTGTACATCGATCTCGAAGCATCTTTTCATATCAGCTTCTTCCAAATCCTTACTTCGCATGCTGAGCTTCCATACGTATGTATTAAGTTCACTTCCACATCATATTTTGTGTCCTTCACTGTTATTTTCTTGATTACTGTCGAGGCGGACATATATGGTCCAACATCTACAATTCTACCCTTCGCTAGGAACGATAGAATTATGATCTTCGTTAAGGGCTCAGCTAATACTCATGGATTTTGAACTCACTTGACTCAGATGAACTTTTGGAATTCGGACTTCAACCTTAACGGAATGATTGTTTCAATTAGACCAAAGCAGATCACGGTCAAAAGCCAAGGTACACTTGCTTCAAACATCCACTAAGTGAGGTTTTAGTGAGTGTACTCAACATTGAAAAATATGGTTTTTGTATCTCAAGTGATATATGTCCCAACTACTTCGATCACAAGGTCTCTCTACTCAGTACCACCCATGGTTTTTGTGGATGAGTGTAGGTAAATAACGATCATATTCAGCTCCCGGTCTAAAGATATGGTACCTTTCTAAAATTTCTCAACTTTTGTAAAAAAGCGATGATGCTTCGATCTCTACACAAATGGGACTACTCAGACCTCTCCACAAAGGGAAGTCGCGGGGTGGTTCCCGGTCTTTCTGTCCTGGGATCGAGAAGGAAGATTATCACAAGAAAAAAGAAAGCAATAAAGCTTGCGTCTCGATACGTTTACTTCCCACTGCTTTTGAACAATGACTTACGAAAAGTATGATCAAGATCCAATGGCACGACTTTTTCAATTCTTAAGCTCTTTGTGTCAGCAACAATAACTGTCATCACTTCATACATGTGGAAAGGTCGGCAGATTACATAGGCTCAAAACAATAAGTGGGGTGTAACATCGAGTCAACACGAAACCCATGTTGCTTCCTCGCTGTCATCTCCATCTTCAACCCTGCCACATCTCCTTTCTTCAGTGTGTGACTACTCGTTGCTTACTCCTCCATTGTTGGAGTTATCGCCGCAGCTGTAGTACAGATTTTAGCACAAACTCCTGCATTGAAGTAGGACATCTTCAAGTCATAGGTATAAGATCTTGAACATCATAAATGTGAGTAGAGTTCAAAATTGCTACATAAACGTATCGTTGACTGGACCAAAAGCTGAAATCCCTCACGTCCAAACCTATGTTTCGAGTCCAGGCAGAGACACTGACATCCTTCAATATTCAGAGTCAAAGATACCTACAAGTACATTTACCACGAGAAAGAATTGTGCATTTGATGGCACAGACGGGGAAAACCTCATCTCGTTGCTACTGTTTCTGAACACAAGGAGAATTGATTGCAGTAAGTTAAGAATTTTCACGTCCAAAACTTAGCATCGTATACGAAACTCAGATTGCTTAGAGTATGTTCTCTACGGTATCTGAAAGGTATTGGTCACAGGCAATCTTGTTCCTTCCAACCTTTGCAAGCGGGGTTTAAAAAAACGGTATTAAAAAGGACGAAACATGACCTTCATGTTCTTGGATAAAAAGCATACCTTGAAGAAAGTGTAAAACCATATGTTACTCAACAAGTTTCACATGGCCGTTGATCACCTCAAAGTTAATATCTACTTCGTCCTTTTGCCCAATCAGATCTGGAGCGAAGCGTCTGAGAGACTGTTCAAGCTTATCTTCAAAGGGTACATATCGTGACCACAAAAGTCTTTTCATCTCGTTCCACCGGGTCTCGCAGGTTATCCCGTCCCTGCCCGACGAACGAACCACACAGTAAATACCAATTGAGAAAAAGGCAAGTATCGTGTGATAGCAGTGAAAGTTGAGATATTCACTACACCCCTTTCATATCCACAAGTTGCTCGCAGTAATGAAACAAATGAGATCTTTGAGCGTCGGACCGCTGCAATCCAATTTCGGCTTCTAAAATCTTGTAATTACACTCGATCGAAGGTCGAAAAGAGCAAGTTTGGTTTCTACCTGTCGTCCAAGAGTCGATCCCAGTCTACTGCCTCCTCCGAGGATGCACCATGTTCCATTAAGCTGGCCATATCAATCAAGTGCAAATATCAGTATTTGACGAATTTCCTGATTTGATAACTTCGACCCCTGTGGTTTAAGGCCTGGTAAGTAAGAGTGAAACTGTGTGCAAACAGCTGGAGAGAGATGCATGATAGTCCAGGTATTAAAAGAAGCGGCAGTACAAAGATATTTACAGGCGACATTCTGATGATTCATGGTTTCATGAGACTACTGCAACGAGCTTGAGGACCTGTGCAAATTATAAACAGGAGACTGAAGCAAGGAGTACTGCACAACAGCAACTCTAAACTACTGGCAACTCCTCCAAATAGTGCAAAATAAACTCACACCTTTGCAGCAATCGGCGGTCATCGCCATTTGCCCAGCGTCCCTCCGTTATCAAAGGAGAGGCTAGCCTGTGGTACCTGAAACATTGTGCTTGTGATATTAAACACTGAGCAGTACGACAGCTCTCGTGTATAAAAATACGTGTGCCTCCAGACAGCTGCCAGAACCTCAATTGTCTTTGAGGAAGTATTGATACTCGGTTCACCATGGAACAAATCCGTGTGCTGAAGTCAATCTTACAACTGAGCAATGTAACGTCTGTACAACTACCGGAAGCGTAATCGCCTCAAATTTCATCATCCATAGTGCGTTCTAGCGCACAAAAGTTTTGTCCAACTGCCCCATGGGGGGCATGCAGATGTGACATTTCTGGTGAGATTGTGAGTATCACCAGAGAATCACAAGTAGATGAGACCACCCAATACTGTCAAGCCAGTGGCCAGCCTCTTCTTCCATATATAGATGGGTCTCATGTTCAGATAGAGAGAAACACAATCCTGCTTGGTATTCTGTAACTCACGCAGATAATAAATTCCTATAACCTGAAAACCTTTTTCTTCACCTCAAAACCCAAAAATGGATAGAAGCCTTGAATCAATACACGTACCATTCATGTGCGCAAGAAGCCGACGTGCGCAGCAATTTCTCAGAGATTATCTCCCAGTTGATATCATCACGAATCTGTAACATTGTTAGTCAGTCCAAGTAGGAGAATATTTGCTCCTTCGAAACCGTGCGTGTATGATGGCAAGTGTAGAAATAAGTTCTCATCACTTACTATTCGACGATCGTTCTCCTTCCGCCCAACATGATCTTTTATCCTCAAACTCCAACGAACGTAGGCGCTAAGTAGATTATACTCACTCTCAGTCCACCTTCCTACATATAAACGCAGAAAATAGAAATTTGTTATCAGTATCTCATCAAACGTTGAACCATAATGTGAAGGATTCCACAAAATCACTGCCAGAGCTAACAAAAAGTAACTACATTTACAAAGCGTTTTCCTTACCTCTTTTCGTTTCAATTCTCATGTGTCGCCATTTATCTTTCATCAGTTGTCCAGACCGTTCGGAATATTGTGCGGCTGTTTTCCAGTTATTACCGTATTTCAATCTAAGCCTGTGCAAGCAAGAGACGGACATGAGAAGAGAAGGGGGTGATCAATGTGAAACTCAAAATAGAAAAATGGATACGACCAAGGGTTAGGATAGAGATTAAAGAAAACAAGTTGTTAACACAACAGGGTGTGAATCCTACTCTCTGAGCTGCTGGAGTTCCTCTTGCGACCATTTTCCCCGTTTATGTCCAGCCAGCAGCCGCTCACCCCTCGTATAGATAAGCTTGACAGAGCGATCAGGTAAACATCTTGCTGCACACAATCCAGTTGTGATGGCTCGTAATATATTATTCATACAAGGACTTCAACCGTGAAAATCCAAAAGGCCTCAGTAGCAGGCTGAGGGGAAAAAATATGACGGCAAATACATCAGGCTATTCCATCACAATCCGGGAAGTCCGCAGAAATGGAGACTCTAGTCTGAATTGCATATCTTGCACTCACCAATATCTAACCATGCGCCTCGAACTTCCGGATGCTTCATGGTAGAGAACAGCATCTTCACTCCATCTTTCTCATCCAGATTTTTCATCTGAGGACCAATGTAACAGAAGAGGTGACTTTCAGAACAACTCTCAAAGATAGTGGTGTAGAGGAGACAAAACAGACTTGATAACAGAACACATAAAATAAAATTGCTGGACATAAAAAAAGAACAAGAATGTCTTCGAAAAGGGACCCCAGGGACCCCGCAAACTTCTCTGATAGTGTGGGCGAGTACATATTCAGGCGTACAGGCCAAAGGGATGCAACAAGATCAACAATTTTCGTCTACATTTGTATTGACTCCAGATGAAATATGAGGAACCCCGTAAAAGTGGTACCAAAGTAAGTTGCTGATGGTTGCTGAATCTAAATTAAGCAGAACGTTATCCAGATAATGACTTAACCTGACTGACCACAAAGAACTGGACCTTTCATCGGGGCAGTTAGAAATTAAAGTATCGAATGAGTACGCTGAACCACAATGAAAAGCCTAATCGTCTCCAAACAATTTAAAGAAGAGAAACAAAAATCAACAGGGACCAACCCGCAGATTCAGGATATCTCATAACGTGACAATGGTCCAGGTAAACAATTGGATGAGTTAAAACACATCTATATCCGAGGAGTGCAATCCACACAATCAATAGTACCCCACAGACAACGAGACGCTGTCCGTGCTGAAAACCTCAATCCATAAGCTCCGTGATATTTTACACCTAATGAAGGTTCAAGAATTCCCAGAGAATACTCTTCAGGTGTTTCGGCATTGAGCTTCTTGCTCGCAAACTCACAGCCATAAGACATTGATTAACATCCAGTATCAAGACCAGTGGTAGTAATTTCTGAATAAGAAGGTCTGGAGATGTATGCTTTGACTGTGCGTGCAAATTATTATCTTCAAAGTTTCAGTCTTCAAGAGCTGGATGTGCCGACTAAATGTAGAAAATGTGAGAGAAAATGGTCGAATCTAGGCAGAGTTTCTGCTTCGCTGAAAACCGAAATCAGATCTGAAGATAACCTTCACTCTTCGCAAGGGTGAAGGGATAGACTAAACCGTGGAGCAAGAGTAGCGTGAAAAAAAAAATTCAGACAAAGGTAGCTGCAGTCAAAGTAAGGATTGTCGCTTACCCTAAGCCAGGCAAAACAAGCTCTTTTAATCCTCTCATCCTCCTCTTCAGAGAAAAATCCGTTCTTAAGATCCGTACGTTTCTGGTCTCTTTTCCAACCTCGGTTCTGAAAAAGGCTTGCAGGGAATTGTTTCATGTATTCATCGTCAAATAGTATATTCTTCTCCCTTCGTTCATCTTCCTCGGAGCCACTCTCGACACGCGCCAAAGACAACTTCTCCTCGTTACCTTCTTCATCTTCCTCCGAGACCATCACATCTGCCTCCTCTTGCTTCCTCTCCTCAATTTCCGGAATTTGAAACCTGACTTTCTTCCCTGTTTTGACTTTCTTCCTTGTTTTGACGACTGGTACTCGAAAATCATGATGGTCTACGAGGTCAGCAGAAACGGCCTCAAGCTTAGCTCCGCCCCCGTCAGCAGCATTGGTGAGCGAGTTCTTTCCCTGTTCTTCGAACTCTCTGTCCCTGCTTCTCTTTTTCTTTTTCTTCATCAAGGAAGACGATTCGGACCCATTTTCCACCAGGTCGTCAGAAACGGCCTCGAGCTTCACTCCGCCTCCGTCAGCAGCACTGGAGAGCGAGTCCTTTTCCTGCTCATTTTCTCTGTCCCTGCGTCTCTTTTTGCTTTTCTTCTTCAATGAAATCGATTCCAACCCATCGTTATTAATTTCGTCATGAACGGCCTCGGCTACATCTCTAACCTCAGAAGTACCATCGACGTTTTGCTCACTAACGGCTTGCACTTCTCTAATCCCATTCAAGTCAGCCAAGCAGCTTTCTCTGCCTCTCTCTGTCTGCGTCTCTACATTGCCGTCTAGACCAGAACTTTCAAGCTCCTTGACTTCGTGCTTCTTCTTCTTGCTGTGCTTCCCCATGAGAGCGAATTATGAAACAGCAATCGCTCGAGGTAAAATTCTGTCACCAGCAACAGCCCCACCTTCCACTCGCAAGCTGCATAGTTACAACACTCCTCACCTTCCTTCCTACTGTTCTATCCTTGCATTCACGTAGCGCCCCACTGTCTACATCAATTCATCTCTGATTCTAAGCCCAATGATGCCCTTCCTCCTTCGTCGATCTGTCAATTGGTTGAAATTGTGTCGCAAACGGTGTCATCACGAATACAGTGTAGAGCGGAGAAGGCACAGCCAAAATCACCCCTATGTCACCTTGTGACTAGAGTTCCAGTGCCTATAAAGCTCCACCTATTTATGGCGGGAGCAGAATCCCGCGAGGTTCTCGAATCACCTTCGTCATGCCCGCTACAGACAACTGGAGTGCACCGACCGACCGGCGGTCATCGCCTTCGTCGTCTAGTTACGTCGGCAGACCGACCAACCTTCCAGGCAAGAGCAGGGTTAGAGGGACCGAATGCCAGCCACCCAACTTGACCCGAGTTCGGATCCTCGGAAGCAGCAATTAAACAAAGACACAAAGAGTTGACCAACTTGACCCGAGTTCAGACCTTCAGCAGAGCCAATTAATCACTACGTGACGGAAATAGCTCCGATTTCTGGTGCTGCTTTGATCAAGCCCAGGTCACTGCTGCCACATCTCCGCTGTCTGTTCTGCGGCGCTAAAACACAGCGCTGAACGGGACGCGACGCTGTTGTTTCTTTTGCGCAGATCAAGTCTAGGGTTAGGGCTTTTTTTCGGACTTAAGGTCCTTTATGACTCCTCCTGGCCGATTTTGAAGTCGCCCCGAATGTAGTGATCGGGACTCTCACACCCTTTCATTCATTGGACAATTTAAGCTCCGCGATGAATATACGAGAACAGTAGACGCAAAATTGGGGTCACAAAATTATCGACATACATGAAAACGTTTCGATCGAAGTAATCAGATTAATTTAGAGACTTGGTTCTGTGTTTTACTTGGCCTTCGAAGCTACATTGAATCTAAGAACAAGTATCATTGTACGATACGCACATAAGGTTTTGCACACCTGAAGGGTTCGGAGAGATTCAAAAACCCATCCAAGGAACACTATAAATCTGAGTCGTGTAGTTTCCGCAGTCAGAAGATGGTGAAACTAAGAGGAAGAGTGGCGCATTTGATTTGTACGAAACCCTTCTTTTAACAATCAATCGACTCTTTCGCCGCACAATTCACTATTTTCAATTGTTGTAGTCTCACTCTATTGGGTCAAATTCTGCTTCTTCGGGCTCTGAGGATCAATGAAATTTTCCACAGTACTTACTCATGACTCGGAATTAGAAACGCTCACGTTTGAGTACCAGTATGTATAGTCACAAACTAAGAGGGGTATTAGTCCTATACTCACAGAAGAACAATGATGAGATGTGTCTCTCCAAATGCATATCCCAAAATTGCTTATTACCTCGAGAAAAATCAGACCTTCCTTCAGACCTGAAGGTCAAATCACTTCTTTATTAGCCCGCTAGACAAAGGACCATCACATCGCTTTCTTCCAAGTTCATTCCGACGAAACTTAGCAGCAGTAATATCGAATGTACAAGATGAGTTTTTATCAAAATCAAATGTCCAAATCATCAAACAGGCCCAGAAATAATGCTCAAGCGAGATATAGATGCTCAGAATTTCATATGACAAAGGCATATCTACACCACGTGTAACTTTGGAAACAAACTGCTAACCCAATTTAAAGCAGGGTGAAGCAGTGTACCCAAAGAAAGGGTAGTATTGACCATTCATTTGCTCATTGCTGCTATCTTACAATGAAGCTCTTCAGCACCTTCTCAACAGCCGTGTAAAAATTCAAAGTCACTCATATGGCACATCTGCCTGCCTGAGCTAGACAGGTGACAACCTCTTATCTAAAGTAAAAAAGGCACCCTCCTCTTATGAAGCTCTCAACCATTCTGGTATAGACTTCGTAGCGTGTAGGGTTTGCCACATTCGGTGGAGGCACCTGGAAGGATTGCTAATCTACCTAGCCAAAAAATCAGGAGTAGAACCCAGAAGGTATCCAGGTACCACGATCATGAGCGATTCCAGTTTTAGATTCAAACTTGAGGGCCTAAAAGACCCGCGCAGGGGCAGCAACAGGGGCAGCTACTGAAAGATGTTCATGTCCTGTAAGATGTCTCATATATCTTCCACAGGAAGCGACGACCAAAATCTTAATCTGATATCCGTATTTCCACTCCAAGAAGATCCCTCATCACCTCGTATGTCACAAACGCAAGGGCTATGGATGGAACAACCTGCACAAAATCAAGATCACATCTCAGCATCTTTCAAATAATCATCGTCTATATAGAACTGGTCACTCATGGCTGATATGCTACAGATGATTATGCTGCCACAATTCACATGGCTCATCTCATATACAAAGGATGTGGTGGGCCATGACCCTGTGCTTTCGGCCAGACAGAAACTAAAATTACTAGGCGAGAAACATTACCTTCACGGAATTAGGTAGAAGACCCTTGTAGAGAGCCAAAAACCCTTCATTCCTGACCGTTTGTCTAAATGCATCAATCATTCCAGTATATTGTGCAGGAGCTTTCACTTTCCCATCAGCTGTGATGACCGGAGAAGCATCCTTCCATCCGACCATCTGCATCCTTCGGCGCACGACATCCAAAGGATATGCTACAGTCTGACCAACGGTTCCGGCTGCAGCTCCACATAAGAGCTTTGTAACTACTCCCAGCTCTGACTCCTGTGCTGTTTCGAATTGGGGATCTTTAACAATCCAATCCTTTAATGTCTCGTAAACAGCAAAGTTGAGTCCAACATACGGAACCTGTACACATGGTACGAATCACATCAGAGTCTATAGACGACACAACAAGAATGGTGCAAATTTAACAGAAACACCGTCTCCACTTTAAAATAATTACCAATCTACACAGATAACAATTAAATCCAGACTATCCAGTATCTACAACGAGACAACCATAAGAAGATTTGAATGATTTAAACACATGTATTTTAGTTTGATTTCTAATCTTGTCCTTCAAAACGACTGAAGGTTTGATAACATACCACTCCTATTACAGATGGCAACCATCCTTTGTACACTGCTCTTGGCCCCTCTTCTTTGATAATCGTCTTGAAAGCATGTACCATCCCTTTGTAACGATAGGGGGAGTCCGCTGTCTGGAAAACAGTTACAACTAGCCTGAGCATTTGCATTACAATCCACGAAAGTTGTACCCAATGAAAGTAGAGAAGCAAACATGTCACTTCAGGTGATTCGATTCATCTTACTAGTCGATGGTCAGATTGTCCAACCTCAGAAACTTACCTGGACAGTCAACCTTCCACGAACCATGTCCATGGGATACGTTGCTGACATTGCGATGATTCCGGCGCAAGCTCCAGCGCCAAGTCGAAGCAGTGGTGAAAGTTCGGCATCCTCTGCAAGTCGCATTTTACTTAAATTAGCCAACAAGCTATGTTCACCGTGGATATCTTAACCTTGACATTCTACCTAGTACACCTTGATAATTCTTAAGGTATTGCCTACGCGCATCAAAATCTAGAATGCTCTGAACTACAAATATGAGAGATAGGCTAACCTTGGCCAGTTTGCTGACGATAAAACCACAAGAGTGACCTGTGCCAAATAAACAGCACACACCCAGGTCAATTGAAAAACAGTGGTGGGACTCCTCTCTCTCTCATAAACACACACACACACACACATGTGGACACAGATGAACAATAAACGATGTCTTTGCAAATTACGTACTTTGAAGCCTGTTCGTAGCTGTAGAACTTCACTGCAGAATTAGGTATAATTCGAGCACAGTTGGTACCGTTGCCTTTGAAAAACCCAGCTAAACCCTCGGTAGCCCATATCGATCTCAAACCCTGGACCATTCCGCTGTACTTTGGATTGTATGCATTTTGAACCTGTTTAGGACAAAGTAAGTTAGGGAGATATAGGACTAAGTGCTTGCTCGTAAGGGCAGTGATGACCTCAATTGCTTTAGCAGTGTTTAGTAACGACCAGACCGCACAAAGACACTGAAGCAATTCCCTTTTGCATCCGGAGAGCAAAAAAAGGTGGAACTATGAAGCCCTATGACAAGGCTTTGATAGTTGAAAATAGACCCGGAGAAGTGTTAACTCAAATGAGAAATAAAAATCGTCTTGTCTCAGACAACAAAGAGGCAAAGCACCTGAAGAAGGATTTTCAGGCGCTCCAGCGGGGCAACAGCAGATCGGGACCTGAAAAAAAAAAAACGAAATTAAAAAAAAAACATGATACGTCTGTCCAATCTAATTGAAGAAAGCTCCAGCAAAGCAAAGCTATCCATCCGTGAGCCTGTAAAGGTCCTGAGAGATATTAAGTTGATCTTACAAAAACGTGCACCTCATTTTTCAGGTCTACACAGTGCAAGAAGCAAGATAAGCATATCAGCCATGTACTTCTCAGTGCATTCTGGCCGACATCGTTGAAATGTGATCGAGACAACGATGCCTAGACAGATCGATGCTTTCAACAGCTCGATTAGTCCTGTTAACGGCTTCACACCTCTGATAGACAGCGTGTTGGCCTAGATCTGTGTCTTTAAAACAAGTGGGGATCCACCGCAACCTTCAAGCTCTGAAGCAACAATGACTTTACGAGCAAAACTGTTCGACGATCGGCAATAGGAACTGTACTCAGCGGTCCGAAAAAACTGGCGAATTAGGGTTTAAGGTAATGCGGGAAAAACGCTCTGTATCGGATCTAAGGGATAATAGCAACCAGTGACAGTGGAGATGTGTAGAGAGATAGGTTTCTATTGCTTCGGCCACAAGGGAATGGAGGAAGAAGGCGACGTCAAAGCACTAAAAAGTGGGAACTAAGAATCAGCGCTAATTAATCCATCCCACGGGAAGCATCGTGGATGATCGTTGCAGACAAAAGGCCGAGTTCTAGAACTCACACGCCTCCAGCAACGCCTCCAGCGAGCAACGACTTGCATATTGTCAGGACGCTGTTCGACGGTGCTTTCACATCCTTCGTGGCCAGCTTCGCTTCCTCGGCTAGAGACTTCAACGCGGATGAAGCGGATTCATTGCCATCCACGTAAAGGGGCGTCGTCTGGCAGTATGCAGTATTGGTCCCCTGTCCCATCACCTCGTCTGAGGGCTTCGGATCCGCGAGTTTCTGCATGGTCGACGACAAATCAGTCCGCGCACATCGGTTTTAATGCAAGGACAATAGGTACAATTCACACACCAGGAAAAATAAAAACGTTTCCCTGCACACGAGGGACAAAGAAGGTGGCAATTGAAAGCTGTTTATCCTTTTTTCAGTCAGCAATTTTTGCCGGAACACCAAATAAAGGACTGAGGAGTTGGTGGTCAGCCTAACAAGCCCACTTGTGATCAAGAGCCGAGGCTTCTGAATGGTGGATATATGCAACATTTTGGGGGTAAAACTGAAGTCAAAGCAACTCCAGTGGCATGAAGCGTAGTTTCTTATTGCGCTGTTCATATGCTGGAATAGAGGCAATTTGCATGTTTCCTCGCGATCTAAAAGGTTCGACCTAAGTAACCAGGCTGCAGTGCTCGCTCTGCATCTATGTAAGGCCTACACCCTCTGTTACAGTTCAAAAAAACTTTTAAAAAAAACAACAGTGTTCTAGGTCGGGGGAACACTACAGACCATCATAGCCCTGTGAAGATGATTCATGCGAGTGGGAGTCACTATCGAGATTTGTGAGACCCATAACTCAATCCACACTCTTCAGACGTTCAGTAGAAAAGAAAGGAGAAAAGCACGTCTTATTCTTTCTCATGTCAATTATAGCAGAGAAACTCCAACAATCTACTAAGCCTCTCAACATTCCAGAGTGCAACCAGCGAAAGTGCAACCTCTGTCGTCATATTTTTCTCTCCACTAGAGTGCCCAGCCCTCCCATCCGCTTCACCACTCCATAGCTCTGACAGGTCTCAATGATGGTGGTACCTCTGTCACAATCCCTTCCGACGCGCTCGTCCAATCGGCAGAATGTCAAACAGGAAATCGATTGGATTTCAAACTACCGGAGACCTCGCATAAATACCGTCTTACTACACAACATTTCCTTCCGGAGAAAAAAATACACCTCCAAGTGCTGCTAGGCTCTTCCACCACAACAATTTTCAATTTTTCCACGTCAATTCACCAAATCGCAAGATCGCCTCCGTCCGGCTCTTACCGACTCGACCAGCTCCTTCTCTCGCACTATCTCTCTCTCTATCTCTCTCGCTCTCGCTCTCGCACTCCCTTCCTCCCTCCCTCCCCTTACAAAGGTGCAAGGGAAACGGGATCGTTCCGAAGGAAGCACAAAGCAGTCGGACCGAAGAAGAAAAGGACTCCACACAGGCGTACGGGAGGGATTTAAGGCCACCGTTATGGCATCCCCAGGCGAGCGACAGAGGCAGGCTCTCGACGAGGGAAGGAAAGGCAAAACCCCTGACGCTGCTGCTCCTCCTCCTCTGTAGACACTCTGGGCTCCCCTCCCTCCTTCCCTCCTTCCTTCCCCTTGCTCCCTCTTCTTCGGCTCGACTACCGTAGGCAGGCACGCAGGCGAGGCAAGCAGCAGGCAGCGCGAGCACCAGGGCACCTTCCACCAGACCACCACCACCCCCTCCTCTCCTCCTCCTCCTCCTCTTCCTCTTCCTTCTTCTTCTTCCCCTCGACCTCGGCCCCCTCTCCTCTCTTGAGCATAAGCAGCAGCAGCAGCAGCAGCTGCGCTCCCTTGCGGCGTGCCATCGAGGCCATAGCCGCCACGACTCGCCGGGCCCGGGTCACTCGAGAAACTTTTGATTCGCGACGCCAGATGCGAATCTTTTCGCCGGGGCCTGCCCGGCGCGTAGACCCGCGCCATTTGTCTCCTGCCCCGTCCTCCTTCTCGCCCTTTGTCGCCTGCCCGAGCAGCATTTCCCCCTCCCTGCCCGCTCCACACCCTCTGCAGCCGGTCGCCCGGTCGCCCGCCCGCCCTTCCCCGGCCGCGACAGAACACAAACCTTTCGACCGCGGGTTGCCGGTGAGTTTCAGCCGTTCGATCCCAGCGAATCCACGCCTCCGTGAGCCCCCGCTGCCCTCGAGACTCTCCCATCGCATTCTGCTGCTCAACCGAAGATCCGACCCCGGGGACTGCGGACTAACACAAGCTCGCTGGTGCTTCACTTACCCCTCCTTGTCATCGTGTTTTCGGCCTAAATTTGCAGTCAGTGGTTCGACATGACGTCTGTGAAAGGCATATTTGGCCAAATCATTCTCTGACAACCGAGTGATCGAGAGAGTGCGAGCTGCCCTCGACTTCCAGTCAGTCTTCCTTCCTTCCGCTGCGGATGTGCGAGTGGGTACTGAAGCCCCATTGTATTCGGCGGCCCGTGAGCGCAGCTAGACGAGAGAGATCGTAGGTCGGACGGCCCGTATGCAGATGGAGGCCGTTAAAGATGTCGGTGTAACGATGGCAATTCCATCGACCGTGGGCCGAGAGACCGACCGTGGTGCTGGCCCCTTCGAAGTCGGGGCTTTGCCCAACTTTGCCCTCTAAATATGTCCCCGACATCGCTATACTTCAGCATCGTCTGGCTTGCCACTCGAATATATCTACCTGATGCCCCGGATCCCAATATGTTCACAGATGCTACAATTATGCTTCTGTTGGGCGCACCAAGGAGTATAGCAAACTGCTATATGATGGACATGGTGCCAGTCCATAGTTCCAAAATTTTATTTTGTTTTACGAAAAAGTTTTCAGAAGAATCTTTATCAAATATCGATGTATATATTCTTCTAGAAGGTACCTTTTTTAATACAGTAATATGTAGTTTTAAATTCTAGTGTAGTGTTGGATGAATAGTGTTCCATAATAGATGAATTGTAGAATAAAAGCATAACTCAAACATGACCTTGCCGAGAATGAAATGTATGAATGAAGAAAATGATTGTTCATCAGATATGAATGAAGAAAAGATTGTTCATCAGATATGAGGTTTTTCTTTATCAACATATCAAGCATGTGCATTACAATAATATTGATTCATGATGTGTTTTCTATCATCATTTTGATGTTTCTGGTTTGTGTCACATGAAGCAAATGTATTTTAATATTTTGAAAATTAGTCATAAAAAAATAGAATGGTTAGTGGTAATATTTTCAATGTATACTATGATATGAATGGAAAATTGGCGTAATAAAATTTTGAAACAATAATTTCAAACAAATAATTTTTTTTGCAATTTAAAATATTCACGATATCTCTAATTTTTTCTATTTTTTTAATATTTTTTTAAATCCATATCATGAATTCATATGTTGTATATCAACATATAGTTTTGTCATAATATACAATAACTATACATTAACACAATATATCATAAAATTCTTATCAACAAAATTTCACACTGTCATTTTTGTTGTAGTTTATGACATCAAAGTTTGGTGTTAAATTTTTTTATATTAAATAAATTCAAAAATAATCATCAATCTTAACTTTCTATCATAACACATTTTTAATTTCAAATTTGGAGATTTATCATGACTACACCAAATTTGATCTTCATATCTCAAATCTAATCTAGGTAAGTACAAATCAGACATATATGGAGACTAGTTTGATAGTGATAAATGAAATGTAAATGGTATAAGAACATGTATAGTATGACAAACCTTGCATAGTCTATATTTTGTAATTATTTTGCATATGCACATCATGTTTTAACTTGAATTGAGTTTATTTTATCCATACTAAAAATAATGAAATCAGTAAAAGTAATTTTTTGGACGCAATTTAAATTTCAAATTGAAATAAGATGAGATATATTAATATATCTATAATTTTTCAACTCCAAAACATTCATTAAATGTAATTATTTTTTCTAATAATATAAATTTTCAGATAAAAAATTGAATTAAAATACTGGTATTGATATTATCACAAATTTGATTTTTTTACATATTGATATAATATAAAAAATACCCCAAAAGTATTAACCATGATTCTTTGAACATCTATGTTGTAATTTAATACTAGTATAAGTTTAAGATGAGTTCTTATTTTAATCGATTTGTTCCAATATAGCTCTAGATTTACATTTATACATAATGTGTTGCACACATACTTACTACAACTAATCTTCATATATTCATTACTTAAAACATTGGTATTGCACAAATCAATCATTACATACATTATCAAAATTCATACTCTGAATTCATGTATACAAGATGTTTTTTATTGACCACATGAGAATGGATTGATTTTAAATTGCCACAATTAATTTTAACATCATCCAGAAATAAAATTTTGGATTGAGTAATACTGATCAATCTAAACAACGTATACGATGAGAATCACAATATGAAATGCAATTACAAAAAAAATGACATGAAATTACAAAAATCATATCAAATTTTTACAGTTAGATAATCATAATTGAATATAAATATCAAGAAGTAATTTGAAATCTTTCATTTAAATGAAATTCATCAAGAATTATAAAATTTAAACCAGACTCTAGTATGAATAATTAAGCTTTGAAAAAGGTAATGAAAAAGGTTTTTGAAAAAAAATTAAGCCTAGAAAATTTCAGATCCATTTTATAATCTGAATTTTATTCATTATATATATACATCTATGCATGATACAAAACATGCATGTGTCTTTTTGATATACATCATGCAATATGCAATAGAAAGATTTAAGACAATTAATTTACTAAATATTGGTTCGTTGATTCTTATCATTTATATAAGTCTTTCTACCCTACCTTTCAGTACATAATACAACGACAAACTCAAAATTGTAATGAGACATTTATGTTCTTGATTTGCAAAAAATATGAACTAGATTGTAGGTTTTCTGAAAAGAGAATCATCCGATTAATCTCTAGATTTTCAATACAACTTGTACTCAATTATTGTTGACAAAAAAGAAATTCTGAGTAACATCTTCTATTGGTCATGCCGGTGAAATATTCTGTAGACCAAATCTCTCATCTAAATTGTTCATGCGTAACCCCATGCAACTTGTTCTTGTAGTAACTTGTAGTGGTAGCCATTGAAGAGTAATGAAAATAGAAAAATACATTCAAGCAGGTTCACATGTGATTGAACCATGATGATTAGTTCTAGAATGTCGACTTCCGTATTGAAATGTGAAAATAAATTGTATACAAAGTAATATTTCGAAGGAAACCGAAGAAGGGTGGATGTGGGATAATTGACCAGTTGTTGCGAACGCCTGCGATTCCTGCAGTGGTCACTTGGAGGCATCGAAAGGGAAATGTGAAAGATATTGTGATTATATAATTCAATTCATTATCTTGGGAGCAACCGAGAAATCGAAGGGAAAAAAATAATTCTAAAGCTGGCGTCCTTGAAACTTAATATATCGAAATCAGCCTAGATAGGAGCAGCATCACAACAGTTAAAAGGTTATAAAAAGAATAATATCATGAAATCCGAAGAAAACATAGAAAATGGAAGAAAAAGCTAAAGCTGACGTCCTTGAAAGCTAAAGTGTCAAAAGAACATGGTGAGGCACGTTGAAACATCAACGAAGAAGTAATTTAAGTTGAGATGAAAAGTCTACCATCTGAAACATTTTCAGCCAATTATAACCGGCGCGTGAGTGTGTCCATATGACTATCCCCGCCGGAGGTAAAATATTTCGGGCTACAACTGAACTCATAAATGTTATCTTAAAGTTCATAAACTCGTCTAGGGTCACTAAAAAAGATTCCCTCTAAAAATAGAAAAAGTAAAGCAAAAGAACATCAATGATGTTAACGGTACGCCAGTGGGTACGTGTATGAGAACCTATTGGTTACATGTAGTAAGCTAATGGATCCACCACTAAATGTACAATTTATCATATTGAATCTGATGTGCAAGAATTAACGACATCAATATACGTGAAACAGGTTCATGAGCATCAACTCAGACAAACCCCACCCTCTTATTATTTCTACTAACTAGTGCTCTAGAAAGGAGCGATGGGGTCTAGTAGAGGACGGATGAACTAGAAGACTGCACTTCACATCTCCACAATGACTAGAGAGTACTAGTGCCATCGCTGGGTTTGACCGTACTATACACCCTCAACATACATTTATATACACTTTCCCACGTGCACACACACCGATGAGACTGGCGTAGTATCTTGCGAGGTTATAATTCTGTGTTTATAAACTTATAGGCAATGACAGATATATTGTAAGGACTACAAATTCGGTCGGGGATGAACCAAGCGAACTGCTTTCTGAAACATAGGCAATGGACATAGGCCCCACGCTGTTATCGTGAATTCACAGATCAATGCATTTCAAAACTGTCATTGTTTTCCCCTAATTAGAAGGACAATTTTACGCGACCATCGAGGCACATTGATAAGTGCCTCTAGCCGCGTTCAAAGCTCTACAGAACGTGCAAGCTATACATGGCTCTTTGAAAAACCACCTCCCAAGCTTACTACAATTGAGTTGGGGAAAATTCCTTATTAAAATTAAATGCAATGTCATTTGCTTTTGGTGCAATATGTGCTTCTCATGAATAACAAGAGTTATATACCTTGTGAATAGAATAAGAATCAACCAACAAAGAGAACATAAATATATAACTTAAGGAATCAATATGCAGTGTACACTGACAAATTGAAATGAATCAGAACTAATGCATGTGATCCGCTAGGTTTTGAAGTTTAAATTCTGAATAAAGATTGTACAGATTGGACAACCTGAAATTGAAACATAATTGTTTTTATGGTCATGTGAATCTAAGGATAAAACTAATATTTTACAACTCAATAATAAAAAGCTTTACAAAAGGACGACCTGATGAAGATTTCATGACATGTCCATCTTTCTCTGAAGCTCTCAGACCTAGCATAAACAGGCCCACTACTGCCAACTGTGTACTTCAAGGAGTACAAGTACAAAGAACATTTTCTTCGACATCAGGTCAAACCTAGGCTGCCGCTTCAGCACGATCATCGCTCGAGCTTCCAGCTGCCTTGGCTTTCTTTTCCTTGTAGTCTCTCACAGCCGCCTTGATAGCATCCTCTGCCAACATGCTGCAATGCAGCTTCACGGGTGGGAGAGATAGATGCTTCGCAATATCACTGCGAGGTTCAATATACAAAGGAGATTAGAGGAAAGGGACAATAGAAAAACAAAACAATTCGGACCAGATGTCTCTTGTGACCATTTCTTGGTATGTTTCCTTCAGAAATGAACTAGCGGTAAGGTGAACCAATATCGAATTATATATGATATGATAAAAGAAGGCTCAACAAAATACGGAATGAGGTGTAGAGCACCCTAAAGCGAATGAATTCAGTAATCCTATGAGCACGATTGTAAGATTATAACGGACGACTCAACAATCTCTTCGAAAGCCTCCAACGTTTTGTTTCCGTTGAAATTCCAGCAATCAAAGCCAAGTCAATTGGACAGGTAAAATTTTCATTTCTCAATGGATGTCATTGTGAAGGAGCACGGTGATAGCGCACATGAATGAGGCATCTCGAACTACACAACTCAGCATCGATGAAAATTCTCTGGGTTCGGAGATGTCTTCATACTGTATACTGTTACAGCCATGCATTTTAACTGCCATTTTTTTTCTTTGACCCAGCATATCTGGAACAAGAGGGATATCGCTTCCTGATAGAAACTCTGTGACTGGAAATCCGACGTTGGTTTCTGAACTAAATCTACTTCATGGGCATCGTCAAATTCGAGTACGGAAAGTTATGGACAAAACTAGCGCAAACAAAAGCATGATATAATTACCTGTTCTTGATCGTCAGCACCTCGTCCATCGGCCTACCCTTAACCCACTCGGTAGCTGAAAAAAAAATGAAGAAAGAGAGGAGATTAGAATCACATGCGGTTCAACCCACAATTGAACAATTCACCTCAAAAAACGTCGGGCTCAGAAACGATTCCCTGAAGAGCCCTGAAGGTTTAGGAAAGAAGAGCAACTGAATTTGAGCAACCCTGCGGCCTGAATTGCAAACTTGTACATACCGACAGATGAGGAGGCGATTGCGGATCCACAGCCGAAAGTCTTGAAGCAGGAGTCGACGATGTTGCCTTCGTCATCTACCTTGATCTGCAACTTCATAACATCACCGCAGGCTGGGGCGCCGACCAAACCAGTTCCAACGTTGGGATCATTCTTGTCAAAAGATCCAACGTTGCGGGGATTGTTGTAGTGTTCGACGACTTTCTCATGGTATGCGCGTTTCAATGTGATCAAAGCTCCATTTGCGTTCTGAAATCCGGTGTTTGACACCCTTCGGGCAATTTGAGCCAACATGGTTCCTCTCTCTGCACATAGATCATCAGATGTCAACATCTAAGTCAGTTTGGCATCCAAATTCACCACTGACAAGACGAGACACACAGAATTATTCATCGCACTGATTTTCGAAACCGGACCAAAGTACGGTTCAAAATCTTCATTCACAATTTCGAAATTTCTGTAAAACGTAGGTATCACTTTGTCTCGAATTTCTCTTCGAGGAAACTCACGAAGGCGAATTCGAGAAACAAACGAGAGAGGAACACAGATACACTGCTTCACAAGCGTCTCACCTGGTGATAGCAGGTGTCGTAAATTACAACCGTGAACCGGATCGTTCAAACCCTAATCGTTGTCGAAAGGAGATGCAGAGCGGAGAAATAAGCAGAAGACAGAGCAGAAGAGGCAAAAGAAGAGAAGAGCGAGATGTACAAAACCGATCCAGAAAACGAAGGATAGATTCAACAGAATCCAAATGGACAGAAAACCCCACGACGACACGCAATTGCCCTCACAAATGGAACTGAAAACCCAAAAAAGAGAAGAGAAAGTGACAATTTCTGCCACGATTTTTGCTCTTCCTCCCACTTATAACTTCCTTCGAACCCTTCCGTTCATTTTCTTCCGCAGCACTTTCCTTTTCTGTCCTGCGACTCCTGCCCCTCCTGCCCCTCCTCCGCAACGCGCCAAAAAGACGAGAACGGGCAGTGGATCTCCTCCCGGACTATGAACCCCTAGAAACTTTGACCTTCCACGTGGCCCTATCCGATAATTTCGGAATAATCATCGGATCAATCCGATTCTTAATCCCACCTCATTCATGACGTGTGTATGAGAACGAGCCATCCTTGTCACGGTGTTATTTCTTACAGGCCGCTCTCTTTCGGTGAAAAATATCTCTGAAGTCTGACGAGGCACACACATTCCAACTGAAGAGAAGACATATACATCGAATCTCAACGGGTGAGCTTGTTATTTGTGTTCGCCATGTGGTGAATGAAATTATATGAAGACAGACCATGAGACGTCGTGTTAGAAAAAGATGGTTAATGTATAGTGCATTAACCACGAAAGACATTTAATTAGTATGTATAGAAAACTAGAATATATTTATCTTCGTTATTATTTTAACATTAAATTATTGAAAGTAACATGTACATATTTATTGATACATGGAGTTCTCATTGATTAGTGATATCTATTTGAGAAAAAAATATTTTAGACAATGATAATATGAATATACAAAAAACAACATGACATATATTCTACTATAATGCTCACTCTCTCATCCTAGCCCATGATTCTCTACAAGAAGGGCTTGTCCATAATTGTTGCTGTATCACTTTGCACTTTTTGGGCTAACCCCAAGTTTGCCTGTTGGTTCCAACCTTAGAGGATTTGATGGGATGGGGTGTGATCACCCTTTGTGTTAATTTAACGTGTCCTCTCATATTGCCAGGCCAATAGTATCATGTGACCAATCGAGATCGGGTGCATTTTTCAGGATGGTGACGTTTAGACATTTAGAAGGAACTGTTCCACCGCTGCGGTGCATGGGAAAACGATAATCAACCCGGTTCCTTCGGGTCCACTGACTCCAGGAATATTCTAGAAATTGACGACTTTCTGTTGAAGAGTAGGTCGGTACCATCGCCACATTGTTTGTACGCAACGTCGTAGCTTATATCATTTACATCATCCACATTGTAACGCAGAGTCCCGGCCATGCTGGTCACAGTCAAGCCCGTCCTATCGTCTCTCGAGAGGTCATCAGCACTTGGGAGTGTTTGTTCCAACGTGGTAAGCTTGTCTCACCCTACGGTACGTTTACAGAAGGTTCTCCAGAAGCACAGTTGTCTCGGAACTCGGTCAAATCTACCCTCTCTCCTCCATCGCTTTCCTTGACTCTTCACGTTATCCCCACACTGTTTAAGTAGGGGTCTGTAGTCGACAAATCGTCCTTACTCCGGATTCAGCTTCATATTGATGACATGTGATTCTGGACAGACATAGGAAATAATTGGCTGAAGATACCCACGAAGGCCAAAGATACAGGAGCAGCTCAGGTAGCCATTGGGACAAGCAGCAGATCGAGAAATTGAGGGCCTGAAGAGTTTTAAGTTATGGGGCCTACTTTGACGAAACTGCTTGCAAAAACATGGAACGGTGTACACAATGTGTGATAGCAACTTTCTATATATTGAAGGTGGACAGTGAGTGAGAAGGCTAAGAAGATTGAAGTCCACTCTATCGTTTGTTGAAAGCGAGGCTGGATAACGATCGAAGCCATAAAACGGGGCTAGGCTCATGTGCTGGTTAGGAGGACTCTACAACATACCATACTTCATCTACTTACTTTAATGGCATTGGATGTAAGACTCAACCAGCAAAATCTCGAGATACCAGTCTACTTTGTAGCGTGCAAGCTTGAACAAGATATTGAAACTTTCTCAAACCTTCCCTTCACTTTCTCGTATTATTCTAGAATTCTTGCTTTTGGAATAATATATATATATATGTTAGAATATTAATAAAATACCTCACCTATCTACCAACAGTGGAAGTGCTGCGTAACGCTACCATTCCGGTCCAGACAGCAAGAATCTACCACAAAACTATATGAGAAACTATAACAATCTACATGGGACCACGAGGAACATTCGGTCTTACCTAGTAGATGTGGTGGATGGATAGATGCCTGTGTAAATTGATTATCAGGTTTCCATCTCTCTTAGAGGTCACGTTGATTTCATGCTTTCTCGTCGCTTTAATAATTGCCTATTCCCGTCACATTCTTCGAGTGTTTTCTCGTCGCTTTGATATATGCATTCCGAAAGATCCTAGCATTAAAAATCCGAATGAATGGAACGCTATGTTTTTCTCCCCGGAAGTCGATACTTACCAAAATTTGCCAAGCTTTACGATACGTAACCAGAATTAGAGCGATGTGATAGAAACAATTTTTTAACTCTTGGTGGGCCCAGTGGTCTACAGGCATCTCTAAACCCAGTAAAGGATTCGCAAACAGTCTGTTCAGGTGTCGCTTAGTTTTCCGTGCAGTGGTGTGGAGACGAAACTTTCTAGTAGATTTCATTTGGCACTGGGTGTCAAAGGCACAGAGACTGTCATGAAGCCAAATAGAAGACATAGGGGACCCCGTAGCGTCTTTTCGAAGTATAAGAGGCGAAGGAAAGATGCCAAGTAAGGCTCCGAGGGAGCAAATGCGTCGACAATGGAAACGACAGCGGACTTTGTCTCTTGACAATTGCACTGTGTTCTTCGACTATAGTGGTGCTCGTATAAAGATGATGCTCCCTTCAGTATCTCGGAAACAGAGAGTACTGTAGAATTTAAGATGACATCTAACAAAAGCGGATTTGGACTGGAAGCAGCGACACACTCTTTACTAATTCGTGTGATCGTTACAAAAGAAAATTTCAGCCGTGAAAGATGCAGACAGTGGAATGATTCAAGTCGTCGAGCAAAATTAGAAGAGTTTCAGATGGGGTAACCAGAAGGCTGAGATGCATTTATGATGTTTGTATTTGCTTCGTCACATTCGTCTGGATTCAAGAAATGTGCACACAGCCAACAGTACAATGACGAAAGTTACTGATCATATTCGCCACTTTGGCATGAGGTAATGGACTAGTGTGGACAGGGGACGAGAACGACCCTGAACTGTTCATAGATTGTTTGATTCACTTGGTGAATTGTATATGTACACTGCACAGGCTTTTCTACTCAAAACCACCATTCGTGATATCGCTGTGATAACACCATCGCTAATGTAATCCAAACTAGGGCCCTGGAGGAGCGCTTTTTTAAACCACCCTATGTTGAAGCTGTCGCAAATTCCTCACGCAGGGTCCAGCCCTCAGGAATGGATGGATAACCTTCATCCAAGAACAGTGAATTGTTCATTGCGCTCAAATTCAGGTCTTCCGTTCTTAGATTATCTTCGACATCGAAAACGTCTGCATTAGGATTCCAATCGTCAGTTCGTGTCGCGTAAGTGACAAGCTAGGGCTTGAGATAAGTATACGTACATTTGCTAATAACCGAATCAGTGGAAGTCAACCTGTCCAGATTACCCTACTTGTTACGTCAAGGAAATATCATGGTGATGCATAGAAAAAAACCGGAGACGGGTGGAAGGGTGGTCGATACCATTGCCACGAGCAGCGGAGAAGGCAGTTTCATCGAAGCTACGGTCAAGCTTCAAGCACCCATCGGCATATCGTAGAGAATCCTCCTCCTTCATATCAGCAGAGCAGCATTGTGATTCAGGTCAGCTATGAGTCAAGGAGACTGAATATAAACAAATTATGTTCGTTCCGTTTACTTTCAATATACTAACTGCACAGTTGTCCCGCGGGTCCACTTCAGATTCTCACTCCATGCTTATTGCTATTTAGCGAGGCGCCACACAACAAAATATAAAGAGACTCACATTACATTCCGAAGGCTTCCCTGTAGCAGACGGCAACCACCCTCCCCGATAGTTCCGCACCAAGGCAACGGTTTCTTCAATCTCTGGATACCATCCACCGTCAGTACCAAGTTCTAGAAAGGCAGAAATTAGTTTGGTTCACAATACTCTCCGATCCAGTCCAGCGCCCTTTGCACTATTCTCCACTGAATGCAGTAAAAGGGTTCCAAGATTGTTGGTGTTTATGGGTGAGGCTTGAAGCAGTATGGAAGTATGGACACTCATTCAGAGACAAAGTTTATTGTACAGAACGAGGCAGGCGTTTGACTTCGTTAACTCTCACCAGCATCAATCATCTTCTCACGAAGAGCTTCGATATCATCTCCAGTAAAGTGGATCTGCTCTAGTTGAATGTCTTCCTTGGCCCATTCGTCTGCTAAACGCAACTGCTCATCGGTGAGTCGGATCTTCGCAGTGGCTTTGCTGCCGAGTCTTTTGGGGGCTCCTGTCTTGAGCTTTGGCTTCTGCTGTACTACTTCTGGCCCATTCTCCTTCACTGATGGTGGAGCTGACTCGTTGACAATGTTGCGTAGCGGAATTCTTGCTGCTGCTTTCTGGGAAGACTGAGACTGGCCTGCTTTCGGTGGTAAATTCTCGGACTTGAAAATATTGTCGACTTTTGTGGTCTGATTCTCCCGAAATGGCACAAAACCTGGTTTTGGGGAAGGCTTGGGAGTGCCGAATGAAGCATGAGAAGGTGCCTTGGTGTTACTGATATCTGAGAGAATTTTACGCTCATTTGTTGCCGATTGCTGCAGTTTCAGGCCCCCGGTGGATTTCCCAATCACCTGATTACCGTTTACTCCCAACTTCGACCCTTGAACCCCTGCGACGGGCATCTTGCCTAGATGCACATGCCGATGAATTTATTAGCATACAGACAGCAGGGTTTGAGTGTAGTAGTATGTGCTTGGATAAAGGACATATTACAAATGTTCTTGATCCAGCAGCGGATCTAGGCAAACCTAGCTTCTGCAGACGCTTCTGTGAATGTAGCAGAGTTTCCTAGCAAGAATACCTTCTCGGAACTGTGGGTAGGATAATTTGGACTAGAGAGCACAAAGTGGGTGAAGGAGAGAGACCCGTGGACGTTGCACATTTAGAGAAACAACTGTAATTCTACAATATCCAATTAAAAAGCAGATGCAGTGATTCTCCGAGTATCAATGTTCACAAGCATGCTGGGAGAATTCCTCGGGTTTGAACCAGTAATCAATAAAAGACAAGCTGAAAGAGGAGTAGAAAGATGAACATTACAACTGCTTTAAGCAATTTCCAGGTCAATCATATATTAAGGGTTGTGGTTGTACAAGAGTCCTCCACAAGACCCTCTATACAACCAGTTTAGTAAGTGTATGGGGAGTAATGATCTTTTAATTACCTGCGTGAACGGAGTTCTCATCGTACATAGAAGTTCGGCCGCGGCTCGAGAGCGCCATCTTGCAGCCAAATCACTGTTTGTCTTGCGCCAACCAAGACTAGATGCCTTCGCGAAGCTGGATTTCGAAACCTCTGTAGACAATATAATCCAACAAGAATCGAAAGATGAGGCAAAAAATTGCTATCTCCACCAGACTCAGTGAAGATTCAAATCGTGGGATTCCTTCCCTGGTTGATCCGATGCTCAATATGTACCCCTCACGGAAACAATTCACTATGCCTGAGCTAAATAAACCAGATTCAGATCAATAAAAAAGAGCGAAATCTTCTCAGCGAGAGGGCCCAGTGCAAATCGAAAAACACTGTCAGAATTTTAAAAGAGACTCGTAAATCTAGTCCTGTGCTTTCTCGACTATGATCAATCAACGCGAGAGACAAACAACACTCATGAATCTAGTCACGGAGAATAAAAAAAGGATTTCGTTAACGAAATCAAGAATGAAGCTTTCTGACAAACGTTGATTCGCTCACAAACGAAATCGTCCTCCTTCAATCGGTTCGAGATTCTACTACTTCGAGCGCGAGTTGCGTGGATTTGGCGAGTCAAGTGAAATGAGACGAGTTTCGGGAGAGGGTCGTGAAAGAACTGAACGCTTCAAGCTCTGGGAGCAAAGTGTATCTGGTTCTCGACAACGTTCATAAATCGGAAGAGCGGGAATTCCTTCGTGACCGTTAGTCGAGATCAATACCCGTAGTGTCCAGACCTCGTGTCGTGCCGAGCCACTGGATCCTTCTAATACCTATCAGATCAGCTAGACTCACGGCTACATTGGCGAATTACTTCTGGATAAAAAGTTACCGTTTGCCGACACTGCAGGCAGACGAGCTCTGGACTAAAGCGCCTTCCTGTACTGCTCAACTGTAGGGAGTTAACGACGTAGTAGGATCTACTGTTCAAATTTACCGCGTCAGGTAATGAGGAACCTATTCTTCGAATCTTTTTGGTTTGTTCAATGGCGCCCCGTATAGTACACAGCAAAACTCATTTATACATAGACATTTTAGCTGTTTGCTAAAAATCATAACTACAATATAATGTTACATGTCGTATAGTAATACACATGTTTAAACTAGTATCAGTTATAGATGTGAATTAAAACCTTCTAAAGACAAAAAAAATTAGACACCACCATCAAGTAGTAGGTTAACAAAACCAAATCAAGTATTCAAGAATAAAAACCTTTTAAAAAAAAGATAATGGTGTGAAGATGACGAGTATGGATTAGAATTTGTACAATCCCCAAAACGACATAATGAGTAATATTTCTCGAGGCAATTAGTATATCATGATACCTTATATATTATTATATTATATTCTTGTAAGTATTGCCATATAGAAAATACATTCACTATTTATGAAGAAGCTATAAAATTTATAAAAATATTAGATGATTTTTTTCATCAAATAAAATCGACTTGAAAACCTAAAATTTAATTCGATATTCATACATTTATGATTTAATATTTTGGTTTATTTACATATTTCTACAGTGAAAGATTTTTGTAGCTTTATTCACCATTCCATCTCCGCATTTGGATAATTAATTAATTTTCATATCAAATATTCAATATGTTAATAATCATGCAACAACATAATTATATATATAAAACCTATTCGTCTATTCGAAAGTCATTGGATTTATAGGCTTTAACCATATTATATCCATAAGACATGAGTGGTTGAAAAATTAACATTTGTAACTTAATAAATATACAATTAGCAAGCTTCACTAGCCGTAACATTCATCTATTAAAATTACTATATGAAACATGCACCCTATACTCTTGAAATAGTCACGGCTGTAATCAATTAGAATCAATGTGGATGCAGTCCATCATAAAAAATATACAAAATGCACATACACCCACTTCTAAAAACATTCTTGGGTAGACCGGTGAAAATATCAATGTGGAAGCTAAGAGTTCCGACAAGAGGCATGTGCTGTGGTTAGCTGCGATCTTCCCGTCATTGCCCAGGATTCAGAACAAGCAGGGCGGAGAAAGCCAACCGTGTTCACCACACACTGAATATATTTACTAAGCCAACTGAGAACCCTCCAGATGGAGCAAGTTCAATTCGAGGCTTATGTGGTTCTCTGCCCGTCGAGCTCGAACCCGAATGCCGTAAACTCTGGAGACGAAAAAGATAGAGCTGATGGGAATACGGACCAGGGAGGAGTGGACTCACTACCTGAGCATTTCAGAGGGTCGAAGAAATTTAGAGGGCCACCTTTCAGCCGTCTTTTCACAGAAATTAGCAAGGGAAACTAGTGGCGGCGTCTATCACATCTCCAAGTCCTCCTCATTCCAATTGCAAATTCCAGCTGGTGTCTATGTGTTGTTCCCATTCCCAAGTGACAAAGTGTTCGATGAAATAAAATCCTCGTGGTTCTTCCTGCCAAACGAAAGAATGGCATTTGGAGGTCAACACCGGAAAGGTGTAGGCTATTCGTGTCCTCTTGATGAGAGATCGTTTGCTGAAACCTTGAGTCGGAATGTTTCTGCAAGTTCCGAGGCATCGGTTGAGACGTATGAACATAAGTTAGCACTGTTGTGATGAAACGGCAACTCGAAGGTTGAGGAGTTCCGGCGGATTTTTGGTCGAAGGAAGAGATGGAGTTGTGAACTGTGTAGGTCACGATGGATGTTCTCGTAAAAAATTGAGAACATTCGTGAATCCGCCAGCATTCAATCGTGTCGAGGAGATACAGATTCAAGTTTTCATCTCTATGTCGGTACAATCTGGCTGCACAATGGTTTTGGATCTGTCACTGTCGATGAGGTAGAATTACAATTCTCGCTGCAGCCCACGCCCGATGTATGGAAGAGAAGCAGAACGGGACAGGAGATGATTTTCTTACGAGAGATCGGTTAGTCCCAGTCTGATGTCTGCAGGTATGTGTCTCCTCAGTTAAAGCACCGTGTTATCCACATGCTGGTCACTGGTTGACGTGTCTCGTAGCAAGCGGCTGCGAAGTGGAAGAGCGTTCAATTGCAAGACACTGAGACTTTGGACGATCTGGAAAAGTTATTAAGCTTGTCTTTCAAAAAAGCTAGAAGGTCGAGAAGTCGATGTAAAGACCGGGAAGGCTGTGAAGTGGCAGTGTCCATGAAATTCGAACTCGGATTCCCCGAATATGAAGTGCGCTGGTACCGAAAGCTGCTACACGACGTAGTACCCTCCCTTCTACAAAAGTCCTAAGACCTCAGATTCGAAATACTTTCACTATGAACTAAGAATCAAAGTGCGTGTCCGGATCGGTCGCCGCCATGATGAACACGCCGAGAGAAATCGGCACGCTGCTCCCCAAGTAGGAAACAGGCACATCGAAGCATGTGAGACTTTGCGAGAAGCCTCATGACAGCCTCGGATCGTCATTAGCAGCCGTGAAAAAAGTGGTCTTCGACATTGGATCCAAAGGGTGGAGAAGAAGAAGGCGACGCTGCCACGTCTCATTTCTACTCCATGCGCTCGTGGACTGGTGAGGAACATGAATTCCTCTAGTGACCTCTAAGTTACCGGGTATGTGGGGCACTCCTGTAACTAGTTTAGAGGACCTCTATTTTCCAGCACTGAGGTTTCTCTTCCCATATGGATGCAGCTGTGGAATGTTCATGAGCAACTTGTGTACAGAGCAACGGGGACAGAGAGATTTGGAGAGTGTTCCGATTGAGCCATGGCATCAGCTGCCCTGTCTATGCAATTCTGGCGTTCTAGGGGTGCCCTGACGTCTTTTTTGGGACACAGATTCGTCGGTGGAATCTCGGCAACCGCGCCTCGTGCGGGAGATGAGCATCGTAGGAATTGGTCTGCAGAGGGCCGAGCTTCGATTCATGGAGAGGCGGGGAAGGATAATGCAGCTGTTTGCCTGGTGCAGGGCGCCTCCCGTGGTCTCGGATTAGAATTTGTGAGTACATCAAACGCAGTCGTGTGCTGAAAATTTATCATTCCCGGTGTTCTCTTGAGCGTCTTGAGGTCGAATTTCTCGACTTTACTTTGTGCCCCTCCTCATTGCTTTGGACTTCGTAAAGAGTATGGTTCTCCGTTGTGAGGTCTCCCCGTCTTAGACTTTCATACGGCTGGTGCAGCCGCATTCGGCAAGAGCTCAACTCATTACTGAAATTATTTGCTTGTATAATTCTCAGTTCAATCCTACGAGCTTGACGAAGTCCTAGTGTCACATGTAGTCACTAATTTTATTATCCTCAAATCCTGCTCTCACCTCCTGTGGATTTGCTTCCATGTTGTACTTCATGTAAGCTATCGTGAATGTGCTGTTTTCAAAGAGATGCAACTGCTATGAATACAACTAAGACTGTTACTCGTATTGGCAGTTTTTCTTGTGTGATGGTGAGTTTTCTGAGCTTGATATCACAAAATGTGGGGGAATTGTTGAAATTTACAGCTGATGATGTGGGTGTGATGTGACTGTCAGGTTAGGCAGCTGCTGAGCCGGGAGAATGACAGCAATATCATAGCCACGTGTCGCAATCCAGAAGCGGCAGAGAAACTGAATGCTCTCAAGGAACAATTTCCTCAGCGGCTGTCGATTCTGCCACTTGATGTAACGATTGAAAGCTCCATAGAAGTATGTCTCACGGACCCATCCGAGCAGTTTGCTCAAGTTTTTCAAGCCTTACAGACATCGACAGCACAACTTGTTTTTTAGGGCTGATGAATCTGATCGTAGTGGTCTAGGCTGCAGCGAAGGAAGTGAACAGCTCGCACGGGCGGTTGGATCTCTTGGTGAACACAGCTGGGATTCTACACGTTGCGGACGTCGTGCAGCCTGGTAATCTTCTCTGTTTTCATATGTGACACCTTTCAGAAGTGTTCAGTTAATTTGAGTATCGCATGAGGTTGTCAGTACAAGGTCTGAAGAAGTTGTTGAAAATTCGCTGCAGAAACTTCTATAAGCCGCCTCAACCTTCAGTCCATGCTCCTCACTTATCAAATAAACGCTGCAGGCCCTATACTCGTGACTAAGGTATGCCTAATTGTTCTATTTGCTCCTTTGCTGTCGAGCTCATGAAATACATCTCATCACAAGCCCACTTCGTACTGATGTTCGGTAGCTAGAGTGCTCATCACCCGGACAGACCTCTTGATCTGACGTTCGGCGTGCATTCGTATTGCAGCATATGTGGTCATTGCTGAAAGCAGGGAGAGGCAGGGACACTGGCAAAGCACCCGCAGTCGTTGCGAACCTCAGTGCCAGGGTGGGTTCAATCGGCGATAATCAAACCGGTGGATGGTATTCTTACCGTGCTTCTAAGTCTGCACTCAACCAGTGTAGGTGTCTCACCTCTTACCGGGTAGATCCGAAGTGATAAAATCCTGTTTTAGTGAGGAGAGGGGACTCTCTTCTATCTTGTCAGATATCTATCCCACAGTGAGCCTCGTATGCTACTCTCTTTCGAGTCTTTTGCTAGATCGTATGTACGATAATCGTTCGGTCTACGAGAAAGTGTGGCGTGGAGCGGGAATGAAATATGTTTTCAGTCAGAAGAAATATATTTTCAGTATTCTGATCGTGTTGCAGTAGCGCAGGAAGTTAAGAATATAATGACACGCACCGGACAGAACGGAGGTCGGGACTCGCCCCATACGAGTAACAAAAGGAGAAATGCCAGAACCAAATCCCGAGTTAACTGCAACTCTGGTTAATTTAAAAGACTAGAAAACCAGAAAAGGGTGAAAATCTCACAACCTTGTGTGCGTGTGTGGTCGTGTACTGTTACAGTGACGAAGACAGCTTCATTGGAATCTGCTCGACAGAGGGCTTCGATCGTCTGCATTCTTCTGCATCCAGGAACCGTCGACACTGACTTATCGAAACCCTTCCAGAGAAACGTTCCGCAGGGGAAGCTGTTCACTCCCGAGTACTCAGTCGAAAGGCTGCTCGGAATCATCGACAAGGCTCAACTCAGTGACAACGGCAAGTTCTTCGCATGGGACGGTCAAGAGATCCCCTGGTAGCACAGGACGTCCGTCAGCCACTCCAGCACCGACATGCAACCGGACACCTCCGCAACTCGACTCCTTCCTTCCTTGCCCATCAGCAGCGTACCTTGTTTTTTATCCGAGGGGAAGATCAGGGACCTTCTTCCGAGTCATCGTCCACCAGCGGCAGCTGGCGAAATATTGTTCTATGCATGTACATGCCCAAGAGACAAGAATAAAAACAATTTAGAAAAATGCTGCTCCCAGCAATAACAATGGGAGCACTCTCGACTATGTATGTTCCTCAATTGGGAATCGGAGCTTACTTTATTGCAGTCCTTATTTTCCACCTCATCTCGATACACTTATAATTATTAATTTTTCCCGACCACGGTCCTCCCTCCCGTTCACAGTCTCCGTCCACGACGGTGACGGACGTGACGTGACCCAGCACGGACGGAGTTCATCGACAGAGATGAACTACATCGAGGGCGGGACCACCGGTGGTGTTCCCATTGGCCCGGCCCGGCCCGCGAAACTTCACCCGACCGGTTCTCCTCATTCGTCTCTCTGTCCCTCCTCTCCTTTCCCTTCCTTTACCTTTACCTTACCTTTCCTTTCCTTTCCTTTCCTTTGCGGATGGTTCCGAGGTCCGGCCCTTAATGAAGGCGCGTCCCATTTGCCTTACACTTCCCGGCCCAACGGTCAACCGCCGCCCGCGGCCTCCGTTGCGCGTCCCGGAAGCGCGCGCTCGCTCTGGCCTGCCTGCCGCGCCCTGTGGCCTCCCTCCCCCCACGGCCTGTCTTGTCTGCCTGCGGAAGAGAGAGAGAGGCCGACGAAGAAGAAGAAGAAGGCTCGGGGGGCGGAGTTTCGCGTCTCCTGGATTCTTTCTCTCATCCGATCTCATCTCGGCAACCGCTTGTTGCTTTTCGTTTCGTTGCTCGTGCGCGGCGGCGGTGGTGCCCTTTACATCCTTGCGAATCCGGTGGCCATCGTTCGTTCATTCGGTGTTTTACGTGCGGCCGAACTCCACTTTTTTGAGCCTGGTTCGACGAGTTGTCTGACGATGCCCAAGCGTTGGGCTCGCGTGCTGAGATTCGCTCACCCCATCCGCTCCGTCCTGCTGCTTCTCGCGGCGTCTTGAATAGGGTTCGATTCCGCGACCGCATTGTGCGTCGAAGTTCTCTCCTACACCTTCCCGGAGCTCCGATCTTCCCGAATTTCTTCCTGTTGGCATCTCAAGCTCTTTTGTTTTCCTGAGAGTTATTCTTGATCTTCCCGATCGTGTTCTCCTCTTCTGGCTCCCCTGACTTGGGATGTGGAAGCCGGGCAGAACGGAAGCAGATGCTTAATGGTTTCTTGTTTATGAACGAATGAAGAGTCTGGCGAGGAATTGAGTGACCAACGTGACGAAAAGCGTTGGCAGCCGGGCAGATTGAAAAGGCTATCAAAGGCCATGGGACCTCCGGCAACCTGGACAGGGCGAATAATGTGGATCGATCGATTACACGACGTGGAACAGTGCAGGGTCGGAATGAAAGGAGTCTGGTGAGGATGCAAAAGATATCAAGGGGATGTGAGGTCTTACATGGTCAACGCCATGTCCATTATAACCCTTGCACTACCGGAGCAGCCCACCTTCTCGGGGCATTGTCTACGCAGCAGATTGACCCACGATGCACAGTAAAGTCTCCATCTCTCCCTGCTCTATATAACTGCTCTTCATCTCGGTCTTTAAAGAAAGGTGCAGGACAACTTGTACAAATTAAGATGAATTTAAGTGGAGGACAGACACTAGAAGTCTGGACGGCCGGAGCTTTACGTGTAGAGTGGACATTTTGTCAAAGTACTTCATGCAACTCGTACGTGAGCATGTTATGATATGTTGAAAAGTGATGGCAGTAGGTAGAAACGTCTGCTCTCTGCTTTCACCGATATTGAGAAAAGGAATACCTGACAAACGATTCACTTCAGCCATCTGCCAGAAGGCAAGCTGCTAGAATGAAATCAGTAATGCGTCGAGAATTTTAATGTAGTGTGTACTTGGACTGACTTGATGCTCTGCGCTGCTCTGCTCTAGAGGAGCTTGTGCCCAGAGACATTGAGACATTTGAGAGTTCTGGTATCCACACGACCAGTTCTGCTCAGAGAGGAGCCATAGGGTTGTACACATGTTGCACAACGTTGCGATTTTAAACGTTGGGAGGTTGGAAGGAATTACACATGGGTGATAACTTTGAGCTGGCGACTAATTAATGAATCGCCCAATTCCAGTTCTAAAATGTTGCAAGAATGGATGGAGAAATTATTATGATCACCTTGGAACAACAAAGTATGTGTCGCCCTTCGGTGAGTGCAAGTTGCTCAAAGAGGCAGGACCCTGTAAAAGGTTGGCAGGGACGGACCCTGGCAAGGACCTCCCTCCCCTTTGCCTTCAAAGTAATTTTACATAATCCCCGCTTGCCTCAAATCCCACAACTCTCAATTATCTGTGTTATAGCTTTCGGTTGTGTAAGCCAAGCGAAGTGGTGACGTTTGTAGCAACAGCACCATCTTCCTTGAGAAAGCAAGCTGATACGCAGCAAGCTTGTTCTCTGCTGCTTCGCTTGGGCAAGCCAATAAAGAATCGGAAAAAGCCGCCAGCGCCCACAAAGGCCCTACAAGATTCGTGGGTCAGACAAGCGCTTCCGCCCGAAAATTCAGTCACCGGTAGTTTGACATTGTTGATCCTCTTCTCCAGAGATTGATGGGAAGAATCTCCTCTTCAGCGCTTGGAAGTGGGCAAGTGTTGTCGATGTAGTTTAGTCACTTGAATGTAAACATGTGGGCACGCACTCAAACAATAAGTTATTGTTTGAGTTCTGGGTTCCTGGCACGCCCGCCCAAGGCATGGGTGGGTGCGCTACTGCCTGGAGCTCTCGTACGTGTTTTAGCGCTGTTGCGTAGAAAATGAATTTCTCCTCCCAGTTCCTGCAGGTTTTCACCAACAATAAGTTTTTGTTCAGTAAATAAGTTAAAAAATTCTAGTCGAGGTGAAGACCTCTATGACCAGTCTGGTCGGGAGGATACTTGTCGTTAACTCTCTCTACAACTATTGCTGGTAACACTTCTAGGTCATCTTGACTTTTGTATAGTACCTCACTCTTCGTTTCTTTTTTTTTTGGCAGAGTACCGTATGTTAGCCAAGAAAGGGGAAGGCACCTTCTCGGAGGTGCTAAAAGCCCAATGTATCAGGACCAGCAAGTATGTAGCCATCAAATGTATGAAGAACAACTTCGAGAGCATCGAGCAGGTTGGTCTTCACCTAGTTCACTTTGCGTCTAAAAAACTTCTCCCTCAAAGGACGATTTGAAATGGAGATGAAAAAGAAAGCTCAAGTAATGGCATTTCAAATGGTAGACTCATGTCGCATCATGCACGGCTCAGATAAGGCATTAACAATTATCACGGAATGTTGCTTTTATTTTAGGTAACCAGCCTCAGGGAGATTCAAGCTCTGCAGAGGCTCTCTCCTCATGCAAATGTCATCAAACTTCTCGAAGTCCTCTAGTAAGTCATCTTTCTGTTGATTCCTTCGTCATTCGTTGCACTAAATAGACACTGTCAAATGTACTTTCACAGAGTTGCTAGAACTGAGGTCCTTGTAGCATTGGTTGTTCAGAAATAGTAAGACAAAGGTTTAGGCTGAAACCTTTACCCTTGTTTTGCGTTTTATTCTTGCATGGCAGCGACCAACCCACAGGGAGGTTAGCACTAGTTTTCGAGTTGATGGACATGAACATCTACGAGCTCATCCGCGGACGACGCAACTATGTTGCCGAGGATCGTATCAAGGGGTTTATGTATCAGCTGATGAAAGGTAGACACTAGCCCTGCCCTCTCTGGCAAAATCCCGAGAATAGTCTGAATACTCCTCTTCAAATTGTACCCTTACATGATTCATGGACCAGAGCGGAGTCTCACTCTCATTTGTAATTTCTGGATGTCAGGCGGGAGCTTTTCCCAAATTCTGCACCCTCCAAATTGTTAACCCCACTCTAGCCTAGAAATTTGTTGACCCAGAGCTGAATGAAACGATTGTGCTTCTTTTCACGACGTGACAGCAATGGATCACATGCATCGAAATGGGATTTTTCATCGGGACATAAAGCCAGAGAATATCTTGATTATGGAGGACACCCTGAAGGTATGGGATCATTATCAGTTGATCAAACCTGAACTTTAGTGGTTCAACACTTGCTAAGAAACGATATCTGATTGAGAAATCCGACCTCAAAAGAGACAATGAACTTGAAGTCCATCTAAATGATTATCCTATGTGGTAAGAGCACATGTAAGGCGTTCCTGACCAAATGTTATATCACTACATTTGTGTCCCACTGTGTTTTACTGCCACAGCTTGCAGACTTTGGAAGCTGTCGAGGAGTGTACTCAAAGCAACCCTACACAGAGTACATTTCTACCAGATGGTGAGTACACATCACCAATCTATTCAACGATCAAATAGAAGTGTTCATAGTGTGATTTCACGTTAAATGGGAAGGCTAAAAAATATGACGATCCTCATTACGTGCATAAGTAGGAATAGTCCTGTCTACTTTCGATCCAAATCAAATGTGTTAGGTTTGCCTGACTTGGAATATCGTCTTGAAGGTATCGAGCACCCGAGTGTCTGCTCACAGATGGTTACTACAATTACAAGATGGATATGTGGGGTGTAGGCTGCGTTTTTTTTGAAATAATTAGTCTTTTTCCTCTCTTTCCAGGTGAGTTTTTAAATCTTCCATTCAGTGTCTTGCAGAATCTCACATTATATACAAAAGCTGCGTTGGGGATAAGATGGAGTAAATAAACTGTAGAGGCAGAAACATTCCGTCCATAGGAAAAAAAAATTCAGAAAACAGAAGAAATGAATATAATATGTTCCTGGTCAACAATGCATGTCCAAAGGTCCTCACAAATACCTTCACATTATGTGAGTTTTAGGAACCTTGAGAACCCCTTTTTCTCTGGATGCGTTCGTCCAGTTATAGGGGTTGTTGATTGGGGTTGGATGAGTCCTCGACATCTTCCACATGCTCCCATTCAGATTTTATTAGCACCTCAACTAACTACTTCGAAAAATTGTGCCTAAGAACTCAAAATCATCAAACCTTCTGTGATAATATGCATACTCTTGACTTTAGTAAGAGTTGCATCTCAATGCTAGAAAATTGTCTGAAAAAGATAGATGCTTGACAATATTCAGGAAATAACGAACTGGATCAGATACAGAAGATTCACAAGATTTTGGGGACACCACCAGCCCAGCTACTTGAGAAAATGAAGAGGCAATGTACCAGATTTCCTCAGTAACTTGCACCGTTGTTTTCAGGATGATAGTCTAAAGCACATAAACACAAGAAGCACTCAAAGATCTGAAGCACTCAACTAAGCTTTAAATCACAAAAGCACTCAACTCCAGTTTTGCAGTGATCTTGGGATTCAAGTTGGTAACCGTCCTCAGAAATAGTTACAGATAGGCTCAAGGTTCTAACGTTGTTATTTGTGAACACAGAAGGTCACAACATGCGGACTTTAAATTTCCCCAGCAGGATGGCACAGGGATCGGCAGACTGATACCACATGCATCACCTGCTTGCGTGGAACTCCTCAACAGATTGCTTGCTTACAACCCTGATGACCGGTGTGATTCTTATTCTAAAAGAATTCTGTCTTGTCTTCAATTCTCATGTCAATTATTCTAGTGTTCCACCGTTACAGAGAAATTTGACTTGTTAACTGAGACAAACTATAAATTTGGTTGAGAGAATTTGCAAAATTTTGAGCTGAAAGAAGCAATTTAATAGACTACATGATGGAATGATTTGATTTCGTGCCTTCCACGGTAAACTGCTTATGCAGTCCAACCCACAAGTTTCTCAATGAAAAGCTTAGAAGCATGACTCAAAATGAAATCAGAAAGAAGGCGTTGCAAAGATAATCAGAAGTACGGACTATTGAGAGGAGTCTCCAATCACCGACAAAGTTGCAGTAGTCCGAACATGCTGACTAGTTTCGCGTGGATTGACCAGGCTCTCAGCCAGGCAGGCGTTGAGGCATATTTACTTCAAAGAACTTCGGGAGAAGGATAAGCTGCAGCAAGCCTTCCTGAATGCCAATCGTAGTAACAGTCTTAAACCTTCGCCTCGGTCATCCCCAAGGTGTTTCATCAACCCATCTTATGTTTGATGTAAACCTCCAGCAGTATCTAATATCTGAAACCAATTTGCAGAGCCAAGAAAGCGCATTTCGGCTCACATTTCCTATCTAATCATCAATGTCACTGTACAGGTTGACGACCCAGGATTTGGGCCAAAACAAGCAGCGTGGGAATGATTTGCTGAGGCCGTCCGTTACTGAGAAAAATAGTTGCTTTACCAACATTAGTGCGAATAGTACTCCTCAGTCTATAACCAGCTTATCACAACTGCCTGTAATCAATGGCAACGGCAAAGTGAAAGAGGTAAACAATGCTACATTATATAGGATCTCACAGCATACAACCATCTAAGTCACGGCACGATGAACTTGCACAATTGAGTTGAAATATGCCTCGACCTGTGAGACACAGTTAAGTTCAGGCAAGTTTTTTCCATCTTGGGCAGCGAGGAGATTAGCAGGGTTCAAGGCTACGGTGCCCATCACACCATAAGCCTTCCGCAAGAAAGGTTAATACGCGTTGTGGCCTCTCGCTGAGAGGAAACGCTTGTTTTCTCAAACACAAAATGAGGTGCTGTGAGTGTTAGGCTCTGCTTTGCATGAAAAGGAACGGCCAGTTCCGAGCACAATCAGAGTAGTCAGACGGAACCCAGCTCAGAGGCACGAAGTAGGAGCCGTCCAGCCGCAGCCACAGTTATTTATCACCAGTTGACGGCCAAGAGTCCAGATGTGAGGTTTAAACCAAAGACCGTCCATGATGCTATGGGGTCATGATCACCTGGGGCAGAGTTGAGCCGAAAGCGGAAACAAGGAGAAATGTGCTAAGAACCTCATTTGACTTGGCTCACAGGATGATAAAGACACTATGGTACATGACGGGGCCTACACCCCAGCATCGCACGTCGGAGATGTGCAAAGCCCTGCGACATTGACATCTGTGGGGTCTGCAGTGTCCGTTTTTATGGCACCGGATGCGGGGACTACTGAGAGGAACTCCGATGAAATGGGAGTGGATTTTGCTCCTGCTCTACCCCCTATCAGAAATAGTTACAATCAATCAGTGCTCTCCCCAAAGATACCTGCCTCCCATGCTCCTTCTGTGCAACGTCCCCTCCCGCCCCGCTTACACACACCAAAGGTTGGAAATCTCTCCCTTCACACTACGAACAAGTATAGCAACAATCTGCAACTTCATTGCAAGGAACTGCGGACGAAGAGAGCTTGGGTCAAAGAGTTCGAAGCATGGGTTCTGAGAGGTTGCAGAACTTGCGTCCCCAGGTCACTGCATATTTTGGCTGCGATTTTAGGAATATGTAATATGTGTGATCAGTTATCAACCTGTAAGCTCTCAGTCCTCAGCATCTTGTGCAGGCTCAGAGCTTGAAAGGAGTTAAAGTAATGAAAGGAACAAAAAGCCATCGTACTTTACCTGAATTGTCGCCTAAAAGCACCATGAGCGCCTACAAGCCTGGAGAGCCTCCGCCCTACAAAAAGAGGGCCAATAACAGCAAGTAAGCTTCCGACCATTTTCGTTCATCCCCACCATCTGTCTAAGTCTTTGCGAATGTATGTGAGGCTTGAGAGTATTTCATGAAATGGTATGAAGTCTGCTTATGAGTGGAATATTTGTCTTGAAAAATCCTTTTCCTCAATCCAACTATCAATTATAGGTGGAATGCCTTGACTGAAATGTTCAAGTTTTGTAATTTCTACTCTCTTACCGGTCAATCTCTCTCTGATTGCTGGTGTTCCTTGTCGAGTTCGTGAACCCTAGTGTGATGTTCAGCCTTGAATACAGTTGTTCACGCCTATGTCCCCTCTTCAAAGACGAGAAAGTATCTCCTCAGATTGTTTTGTCACATTAAGTTGGCGTTCGAAACTTGAAACCTACACCGCACGAGACAGGAAGAGATTCCCAATCGGATCTTGCACGGTTTCTTCAGATTTCAAGAACCCGTGAGACTTCGCTTCCTATATCATGTTAACAATTTGCGCTTGGGTGCGTCTCCCTTTACTCTCGTCTACAATACTTGGCCATCCGTAAAGATGTCGAATCTCTTCAATACAACAACCTAGAGCTGGTACATGGATGCTTGAGCATCTAATTCCTGCAGAGCCATTCACACGCCGTTGCTAAACATGGAAGTGAAAGCTGCAACTTTAGGGGAACAAGTCAGGGAGAAATTTCCGGAACTTCAGTTCAGAAAGTGGACTTACTCGCATTAGAAACCAGGGCTACGACCAGTACCGGAAGGATTCATGACTGCTGAAACAGCTAAGACAACGTCAGGAGTAACTCTAAACTTCCCCGTTACTGTCTACTTCAAGCTGGGCCTTTTGAACTTAAGGCTTCTTCCCAAGTAATAAACCAGAAGGACGGGAAGATGTCATCAAGCCCTGTAGTGATGAAACTAAGCGGGTAACATGGGACGAGCCTCCAATAGCATCACAATATCCTATTGAGCCAAATACCTCCAAACCATCTAAGTAATACTGGCATGGATAGCATTACTGTAGCTAGTGTTACCTACAGACAACACGGCATCCGAATATTCATCCTCGGGATGGCAATCGAAAGGTGGGTTATAGTGAAGTGGGAGAAAAAACGGTGCTAGACAAGCAATATTGGGTATCCACATTTCAGTAATGACTGTCGAGACTACCGCTTGTGGTTGCAAGATGCACTGCTTCACGTACATTTTCATCCACGTTCACTTAAACAGGTCACTCCGCTTTAAGATAGCCTCATATTTGTTCGGTGTGAAGAAATGCATGCTGGACTTCATGTCAACGGTGGTCAGCAAGCATTTTTTCTCGCCGTCAACTTATATGAGCATGAATAAGCCTGATTAATCTTCACGCTAGAGTCAACGAATCCACTGCGGAGATTTTACGAGTAGAGTTTCAACGCAGAATGTGCCTGGTACTAACGTAAGTCCGTCGACACACTCTTCGACTGAAGCGAACATGGAATCAACCTTTAGCAGAGCAGCACCAACTGAGGTTCCGGTGCGAGGTAGGGAGTCCTGATTCGCAGTGATAATTTGCTCGTAGCAGCAGCAATTTCTTTATGTATCGGGCTTCCTACCCGGAGATTCAACTGAATTCTTCTCTACAGGCCAGAAATTTCAGTGCACGGGTCATGATTTTCAAGGTCTTGGAGCCTTACGCGCATGCTATGCACCCTGCAATTCACCCCGCAGCATCAAAACAACAACAGCTGGTAATGCTGTTGATGCTTGACTCAGGTTATCGTCGAATGAAACAAGTCCGTGAAGTTCCGCTCAGTTAACATTTTACTTCTGAAGACGCCAAATCCAATAGTCGAGAATCGCCTCCCACCCCCCCCCCCCCCCCCACTCAGTGTAGGTAGCCATAATCCAGACTAGCAGGGTAGAGGTCCGAACGAATTTCCATGTTCAGATGTGGAAGAAAAGAGAATCTACAGATCAAGCTGCTCACAGTATAAGCTGTTCAAATGGATACACCGTGTCCGGGAGTCGTACCCAGGTGTTGCTCCACATGCAGACTGCTGCTCATGTGATCGTTTCCTGCCTCTGCTGTAGCACTCATGCAAGCAGCTTCTCAAACAGAGATTGCTCTTATATTAGTCCACCTGACTCGCCACATGGGAGGTTGGGACAGTGACGGAAATGTTAGGTCTGAACAGTCGACTGCCAGCATACATCCTGGAAGTCCCATGTTAGACGGGGTGCAATGATTCATCGACCTGCGTATGGGTGTAAGTTCCAAGCTGGACTGTCGAGAACTGCTGGCCATGTTCTGGCCTTCAATAGCGCCTGAAGCCGCTGCTCGTGACTTTTCTCATGCAATCCGTCGAGCGCTGGTGCACCTTTTTCCATCGATCAGTTTGTAGCTGTCGCCTCAGCTGTTGTTCTCCTCTTCAAGGATCACGCCGTCGATCCGGCCGGGAGGGAGATCGAATCCAGATTGTGACTGCATCTCATGCTTTGACCTGAAAACCAGCAACCTTATCATTAGTACTAGAGGTCGTTCCATTTTTCGTCGGAGTGACCTACATGAACCCTACGGCCTAGGTTTCAAGCCAGTTTGTGAGAGGGCTCGTGTCGACTCCAGTTAATGTTCTGCCTCGTCTTTCCCGTGTGCTACTGCTCCTGCAACTGACGCGCGTGTGCACAGTTTTGATTCACAGTGCAAGTACAGCGGTCAAGTAAAACGTCTTGTGTGCGTTCAAGCTGCTAACGGTGCGACATGTATGCTGCCTTCTAGTGCCTTCACCATGATTATGCAATATGTGCTGCTGATGTTTGCCATGCTTCGCACAGACTGCTGAGTCTGCCAGAGAGGATAAAATATTTCCTCACAAGACATTCACACGCATTGGCTGCTGGCTGCTGGCTGCTTGCTTGTTAAAGAGAATATTTGTGCTCTAATAATTGCAATATCTCAACCTGGCCACAGCTTCTGACCGTCTATGTTTGACATGCTGCAATGCATTCGAGAGAGTCCCTTCTGGACAAGCATGCTTCTGAGATTAGCCTTGCAATTAAGCAGGTCATAGTTGTGTATGTCTTTCTGGGCCAGGGGAAAGGAGGCCATTTATCAACAGCAGAGACGGGAGGACAGAGAATCGAAGCTGATAAAAGGCAAGAACATGGATGCGCAGGCATTTGCAGCGCCGGGAATTAGTTTTCCTCATTGTACAACATCCTCGGGGTACTTCGGTAGTGGTGGAAGGCCTGTCCCACCAGACCATAAATATCAGAAGACTTTAATCTACTAATTTCCTGTTCAGGGCTTAGGCGTTCACTTATCTACCCAGGTATGGTATATTAGGACACATCTCACCATGCGATGTTTTGTCCACGTTGGAAGCAAATAACGTTCTCCGGGGACGGGCGTCAGAGAGCCTTGGCTTATCTGTGGAAGTTTACATCGTAAGCTGACGTCTGCTCGGTTTATCTCGTATTTATGATGCAGAATTTTAGATTTAGGATTTATGTGGCCTTCTATATTCCGGGAAATGCCAATTTTGTCCTCAACCTTGCGCACTTACTCGAGTACAGTACCTGACTGCTGCATACAATAGACAGGTAAAGATTGGAATCGCCTGAATCATTGTAGTTTGAAAATTTTAGCACTCGAATTCCCCAAGAGCGAGGACTAAAGCTAACATAACAGTAAGAAACTGGTGGACTAACTAACAAATTTTCGAAATTTGAACTTGGTAGGGCGAATCAACTCTCACTAACATGACAACAAACGATTGGAAACCCTATAACGAGGACATTACCGAAAACTAATCCTGAGGCCCAAGTCACACACAGTGATTAGGGGCCTCAGGCCTGCTTCTCCTTCGTGACGGTGGATTGCCTCATCCAACCAAGTGGGTCCGAAATGGAGGCTTGCGTCATCACTCGCTTCGTAGCGGAAAAGGCCTCGGTTCAACTTTATTTATTGAAAATGAAAAGACATGAGTTTGCAGTGCTGATTAGTTAAATATACAGACTACAGAGACAGAAAATCCTGTCAACATAACTAAGACTTAGACGCCTCGAAAAAAAAACACAAAATCTAAGCCTCATCACCCTCATCCTCGTACTCAGGTTCTTCCTCTGCGCTGGCATCCTGATATTGCTGATATTCTGATACCAGATCGTTCATGTTGCTCTCAGCCTCCGTGAATTCCATCTCGTCCATGCCCTCTCCTGTGTACCAATGCAAGAAAGCTTTTCTCCTAAACATGGCAGTAAACTGCTCGCTAACACGCCTGAACATTTCTTGAATAGAGGTAGAGTTCCCAACAAATGTTGAAGACATTTTTAATCCTGTGGGAGGGATGTCGCAGACGCTGGATTTCACATTGTTAGGGATCCATTCGACAAAGTAAGAGGAATTCTTATTTTGAACGTTAATCATTTGCTCATCCACCTCCTTCGTGCTCATTTTCCCTCTGAACATGGCAGAAGCCGTGAGATATCGTCCGTGGCGCGGGTCAGCTGCGCACATCATGTTCTTCGCGTCCCACATCTGTTGGGTGAGCTCGGGCACCGTAAGTGCTCTGTACTGTTGGGATCCTCTTGAGGTCAAAGGGGCAAAACCAACCATGAAAAAATGGAGGCGGGGAAAGGGAATAAGGTTGACGGCGAGCTTCCGGAGATCGGAATTGAGCTGACCGGGGAATCGGAGACAGCAGGTAACACCGCTCATCGTCGCGGAGATTAAGTGATTCAGGTCACCGACTGCAAGAAAACGAAACGACAGATCAGACCTAGAGTAGAACATAAGAAGCACGCAGCCAAGATGATCACAGGCGATGAATGCGATGAATAGGACATTGTGGCTCCATATGACGCTATACTACTTACATGTAGGTGTTATCAACTTCAGCGTTCTGAAGCAGATATCATACAAAGCCTCGTTGTCGAGCACCATGCATTCATCGGCGTTCTCTACGAGCTGATGTACTGACAGAGTAGCGTTGTAGGGCTCGACGACAGTGTCGGAAACCTTGGGCGAAGGGAACACTGAGAAAGTGAGCATCATTCTGTCGGGATATTCTTCTCGTATTTTAGATATGAGGAGAGTACCCATACCAGATCCAGTTCCTCCACCAAGCGAATGGCACACCTGGAAACCTGAAACAACGAACAAGAAACGGTCAGTACAGATAGAACACGTGAAGAGCGTACCAATGCAGCCAGACTGTAAGAGTGATTCACTTCCAAGAACTTTAGGAGTTTGGAAACGTGGGAGAGATGTACCTTGAAGACAGTCGCAGCTCTCAGCCTCCTTTCGGACCACATCGAGAACAGAGTCTATGAGTTCAGCCCCTTCGGTGTAGTGCCCCTTAGCCCAATTGTTTCCAGCTCCAGTTTGCCCAAAGACGAAGTTGTCGGGTCTAAAGATCTGTCCATAAGGACCTGATCGAACACTATCCATGGTGCCGGGCTCAAGATCCATGAGAACCGCGCGAGGGACGTACCGCCCTCCGCTGGCTTCATTATAATACACATTCACTCGCTCCAACTGCAAGTCGGAGGTACCCTGATAGGTCCCAGTGGGATCAATACCATGCTCGTCACAGACTACTTCCCAGAACTTGGCTCCGATCTGGTTTCCACATTGTCCACCCTGAATATGTAAAATTTCACGCATCTTGACGAACTGGTATGATCTTGGATTTGCTTTCTGTATGCGCCAACAAGTCTAAAAAAGATTAAATAGCAGTCCAAATTGCTGCAGCTTAAAGATCGGTCCGGCAGAATTCCCCTTCGACCTCCGAGCGACACTCGAACAGAATGCCGCCGCTGCTTCTTCTTCTGCTGCTGCCGCTGCTGCTCCTCCTACTCCTCCTCCTCCTCCTCTCCGATCGCTGACTTCACCTCAAGGAAGTGCACTCAGCGAAAGACTACTGCAGCTCCTCTCCTCTCCTCCTTCCCTGCCTCCTCCTCCACTTCGCCCTCGACCCTGCCAGGTTTAGTATCGTCGATAATATCTTCCCGCCCCGTCCTCTTCTACTGCGACTTTCCTCCCGCTTTCAATCCTTTCGGAGATCGAGCAGTGCGATGCGCAGCAAAGAACGGGCCCAGCCAAGCTTATAGCTGCACAAGCTCTTCTGCCGCTGGCCTGCTTTGGAGCGCCCGCTCACGGGGAGCTAAAGTATCCGCAGCAAAGCTTTCGGGGCTGCCCGTCGTGTTCGCGGCTTTGCTCGCCGTCTGCTGCTGGGGCTGGGGCTGGCTCTGCGGGCCCAGGACCAGAGGTGGTGGTGGGGGCCGGCGACTGGCAGCGGGGCGGGAACAAGAGTCCAGGTGAAGGTTACGGAGTCCGGTGAATGTCTGTTAAGAGAGAGTCCGTCGATGCCCAGGCCGGCGGTCCGTCCGATGTGGAGATCGAACGGGCGCGCGGGCGCCAGGAGTTTTAAAATTACCAGCAGCGCATTGCTCGCGTATTCAAAAATCTTGCGCGCCTACGCCACCAGCAGGCCCCATCATGCCTTCCCGCGCCCGCCTGACACAACGGCCTCGCGAGGCGCTCGGATTGAGATCCGACGTCGGCAGGCCAGCGGCTCCTGGCCGAGCTCTGCCTCCGGGGCCCGGATAGCTGTTCAAGCGTGGCGAACAGCGGGGCAACGCTACGGCCCTATCGGAGGGCTCGGATCGTGCCGGCCTCCATCGGACGGTGCCTGCTCTCCCCGAAACGGCACGGAGGGCCGCCTCCGGGCCGAATGATTTTTCTTCGGCCCCCCCCTCCCCTCTCCCCCTTCCCCAACGGCTACATGCCGCGCGGGCTGCGAAACGCCCGCGATCCTCCCTCCCTGCCTCCCGTCTTCTCCCGGTCCGGAGCCGGTCATCCGGCCCGCCGCCCCTCCGCCCATCCGCCCACTCTTCTTCTTCCGGGGCCGGAATCTCCGCGAACGGCAGCCCTGTCGGTCACCGGTGCGGGCTAACCAGGCAATCCTGGCGCCCAAGATACGAATCGCGGGCGAGAAGACCGTTGCGGAGAGGGCGGAGGGAGGAGAAAGGTGGTGGTGGTGGGGATAAGGGAGGGTCTTGGAGGGGACCACGTCCTCGTCGTGATGACATGGAGCGGCTGGAAGTACGTGGCGCTGCTTTACACGTCCGACCAGCTCTACCCCATGATAGAGCGGCAAAGAAGAAGGGGGGAAAGCCAGAGGCAAGCCATGCAGTAAGTTCTCTCAAACCGGCAGCAGTTCCTACATGGAATGTTCCCCTCTTAAACAAGAAGATTCTCCCGGCCCCCCTGTATCTTCTACGCAAACAGAGCTCCTTTGTCAGGCTATCGGGCATGTCCATAACTTGCACTCGGTGCCAGATGCTGCTCTACTCGCGCAGCGCCAGGTGGTGGTGACCGACAGCCTTGACGTCCCTGTTCTTATGCGCTCGTCGTCTCTCGCTTCTGTGCCCTGTACACGGAGCGTCCTGCTCTACGGACGCCTCACTGCCTTTGTCCTCAGCCCCAATCGTATCTATACTGTGCTCGGCTTTGCGTCCTAGCCCGGAACTTCCTGACGGCCCTGCTCCCCTGGCTTTGCGGCTTTCAGATTCGTCGTGACGACATCGTGAGGTCGTCACGACGTACTTCTGTCGAACTGGCGACTGTCCCGTAACCTACTGTGGTTATTCCAGTTCTGCCGGTCGGGTCGCATGCGTTCCTCGATGGACGACGCGACGTAGCTCGCCGGACCCTGCAATGTCGCGACGATCGGGACCCCCTCTCTGTCTGACCCAATCATGAGCGCTCTTTCGCCCGCCGACGCTGCCGCAGCCTCACCGGGACGCACTCCACGCCTCTTATCCATCGGTTCGCAACCGAGCGATGGGAAGGTTTCCGACGAGCGAGCCCCGCTCGACAAGTCCAGTAAACCATACCCCGAGCTCGTCACTGCAAGAGAATTCCGTAACCGAGGAGCACGGGTTTAACTCTCGTCGTAGGAAGTTGTCGCTCGCGATGCAAGAGCTGTATCCATAAATGCTCTAGTGCCCGGCCAGCTATTCACAGCTCCAGTAGCAGCTACAAGTAGTCGCTTCTGTACAACGCGCCTCGTCTTAGAGTGAACGTCAGCCCCGTCTCACAAGAACTGTCAGTTCCCAGCTGCCGGCGACCGGAGACCCGATCTCGAACCATCGGCGGGGCCCGTGGGCGGCAAGATAAGTAACCGAGTCTCTTGGACGTGAAGTTCAAAAGAAGACCGATCGAAAGAGAAGCTTTCCAGGCACTCCGTCTGTTCATCTGTCTTCTGTCCGTCGTCGTTGTCTGTTGAAGGTTGCTGTGACCTTACCACGTTACGGTGGACTGAAATATGTGTGCGTGTGGGTGGACTCCTTGTACTGTAGTTACTTACGGGGAGCACTACGGATGTGTGATTCACGACCGTGGATTCTGCTCCCGCACGTTCTGCCCAAACGCGAGCGGCCTCGCACGCCGGTCGATCTCTCCTACTCTTCCGATACGTCGTCCGACTATTCGTGGTGACAGTCGGGATTTTGGAGCGGAGCCCTTTTCAAATGGAGCCTCGGCCGCGGCTCCTCTGTTCTATTTTTGAACGGCTGGCTGGCTGGCTGGCAGGCCGGCCGGCCGGCCAGTGACATTGGTCGCATTACGTGACAATGGCCTCTATTTTCACATTAGGGATTGCTTTCTCTGTGGGTAAACGGGCTGCCAGGCGAGATGCGAAGCTTGCTTCGCTCTCGCGGCTCGTGGATTGGATTACATGTTGTTTCTCGACCGACTGATTTGACAGTCTGACGGACTTGCGATCTGGACTTGTCTCGCGCGGTTGGTTGTGAGTGGCACAGTGGGCCTGTGTAGGTCAAAATAAGTGTGATTTGAGGTGCTAAAGGCTTGCATGTCATGTGAATGATTGCCTTCCTCGCTGAACTCGCTTGGCTGCCTGCCATGTTCATCTACTTTGTTTGACTTCGACTCCCCACCTTTTCGATCATGTTGTATGCTTGGGGCGGGACTGGTGGATAATTCCATCCCGTTCTGATTATTAGCTGCAATCGCGTTTTCATGTCATCTCTGCTCCATGTGGGAAGAATGACATTCTTCATCTACTTCTAAGGACTTTTGTGCATCTTCCTCTCTGATGCACATGTCAGTAATCAACGTGTACACTCTGCCAGTCTATTATGATGGTCACATTTCCATGTGTATCTCTCACTCCATCCCCTTGTGCAACGTATGAATGTCCGAGGCGGTATCGAGAGATGTGTGCATATCTAGACGTATCTGCTGTCTCCCCTCATGTTTAAATGCATGATTTCACATCCATGTGACTGTTGTTCTCGATGGGGACTTCTTTCATGATCAAGCGCTGTCCTCATTCGGGTCAGATTCAACCTGGACGACTTCTTCCTTCTCACGTCCTTCAATTCGTCTTGTGTCGAGGCACTTTTCTTTCACTTCATGATGCTTACTACCATGCGTTTGAGAACAGAGGATCATCAATTCCATCACAGTTAAATCAACATGTTTTCGTTTCTCGATCTGCAAGAATAATAATATAGGAAAGATGTGCATGAACAGTCCAAGTTTTCGTTTCTCGATTTGCAAGAATAATAATGAAGGAAAAGTGTGCATGAACAGTCCAAGACGATGCACAAGTCATTCACATCGGTGTCCAGATTTATACCCGATGTGAAAAGTTGAGTATAAGTGGATACTCGTAGACCTTGCATGATTAAATTCTCTTTGTCTTTACCTTTTCTTGTGTCTGTGAGGTAGCTGATAAGAATATATTTTATGTCGCCTCTACAATCAATGCTCGACTTGAGACTTTGTTTCGCATCGCCAGTGCTTTTTATCCGAATACTCTTGTTTATCCTTAAATGACTTCTAAATCTAAAAAGTATAACAGAATGAGCGAAATACGAGGGCTTGCTTAAAAGGTCGAGAATAGCGATTATATTGCTCTTTGTCATGTTTTCTATGATATCCACCTACATGCTACGACAGGCTTCATATCCACGCCTAACGTGTGTTTCTTTGACGAAAATGAGGAACCGAAGTAGCAGTATTTTATCCCATGAATACAAAACTCTCGGAAAGTAGAGCATTGAATGTGACGGATCATGCAACGCATATTCTGACACTAGAATAGCTGATGTACGAAGTTTCACCCAAAAGCTTAGAGCTTCATATGCCATCATATGCATTCTTTGCGTACCTTAGAAATTGGTCATGCAATGCTTCCACTAAAGGCCGGTTACTAACGTAGATTGGTATACCACGTAAAGAAATTCTTATGGTGATATCTTCACTTTCGTGTTACAGGATATACCGAAAGACCGGAAGTCACAGATCAACCCCACCTTTTGTGATCTTCCCGTCGTTTATCAAATTTTCTCCAAAGCTACCATCTCTATCTGCCCCAATGTTCAGTTACAGCCAATGCATGTCATTGAGGAACTGGAACTTTTGAGATAGAACCAAGTGAGAATGTATTGTTTGAAGTGAATTTTAAATTTAAAGTGATGAAATTGATATGTGTGAAACGCCAGTTAACCTGAAAATGCTAATATCGTAGAATAACATCGCTCACGCATTGCAAGACTTGGTTTTTCAGTCTACACTAACATAAGGAGTTCTCTTCAAAGGAAAGCCTTCTAAAGTTAGACTCGTTGAAACCGGAAGCAGTAGCTTGTAATTTTTGCATGAAATCTTTATGCTCGGCTGACTCGGTAATCAAAATCATCTTTCTTCAGACGTATTGTCAAATCGGTCAAGCAATATAAAAAAGATATCATCATCACATGCTTTGAGATATCATTTTTCCATTATTTTCTAAAGACTTTTCTACACCTATCAAGTCAAGAAAGTGATTAATTTTATTGCTATTCATTCAATGTAAAAAATAGTGAGTTTACACCTTTATAGAAAGAAGCTTGACTTTTCTTTCAAAGCATTTCATTAATCTATAGTTTTTGACATCCATGCAAGTATTAGTGATGACTAGTATCAAAATTAGTTAGAATTTGATTGTTACAAACTAAAAACCATTATATAATACACCAAACATCACAATACATAAAGCAATACATCCTTATAGATGTTAGTTATTAAATCCAAATATGTTGCAAACATTTGATAGCCGAAATACACAAATTTAATATGCAAGTTGTTTATGTTCTTCAAATCAATAATCTAATATGTAAACTCATACGTCATTTCACCGTAAAATTTCAAATCCATGCAATATATTCCATGTAAATGTAATATATTGCAATTCCTGTTCCTATTTCTGAACAAATGTAAACCTATTTCACACTCTTTTGATCTGTAGATGAAAAAGATATCTACTTTGAATTTGATCATATCGATTTTTCTAATCATAAGATATCATCAATCCGACTGATACATTACTTAAATTTATTTGTATTTTTAAAAAATAATAATTGAAATATCATTTTTTAATATGTAATACATTTTGGATAGAAATCCAATGTTAGTTATAAGCATCAAAATAAATATGATCAATGACCAACCTTTTTTCAATTTTAAAGCTCTAAATTTAGGAATGAAAAATCATTAGAAATACAAATAAAAGATATATCGAAATACTTAACATTTTGACCTAACATAATTTGTCAATTATTATCATGAACTTCAATTTTGTAAATTTGATTCACTATATGAAAAAAAAATTATATTTTTTATTGATCAAAATTGAATCTTTGGATCAGAAGCAATAATTGTTTGCTTTACTTTTTCTTGATAATTGTGAACGTCAAAATAAAAAAATTCTTCTTGCATTAAATTTTAAATTTATAAAAAAAACATAATTATAATTATTTAAATAAATATGGTTAAATTTGTATGATTCCTTTCAAGCGATCTAATTATTAAAAAAAACACTGCTTACTTTGAGATGTAATCATTGAACAAAGATTATGTAATTTTTGTCTTATAAAAACCATCAATTTACATTGAAATGGTACAATATCTAAGTTTATCTCAAGATCTAACAACATATTATTGATTTCAAATAGAATAATTTCGTTTATTTTATTCAAAATCATGTCAAATGTGAATATTAAATGTAACAGTTAATAGTTATATTCAAATCCATATTATTTATACTCATTTTCAATACTTGATTTGCAAAGTCTATTACCGAATTTAATACTCAAATTGTAAAATAGAAATCTGATGAATAATGCAATTGTTCATAACTTGGTTATGAAAAGAAAATTCTTAATTGAAAATATAAATAAATTTAATTTATTGAAAAAAAAAACATTAGTTGTGACATGATTCATGTACAATGTAAAACTGTTCATAAAAAATAATATATGTATTATATTTACAATATTGAGCTGATTTTTTCAGACATATTTATACATGAACATAAAATATTCTAAACTTTCAATATATAAAATTTAATATTTAATCACATAATATAAAATATGATGAATATGATATTTTTTATGAATGCAATTAAAATATGCTGGATATGAGAAATATTTATTTCAAATAATTTTACAGATAATATGCTTACAATTTTCACAATGTATGACATGATAAAATGTAATCCAAAATTCCACATACTTTATTCTCAAACTTCTTTTATGCCAAAATATTATGGTTATTATTTTCATTTATTAAATAAAATATATTCAACATTAATTATCAAAAGTAACGAAATTATCACCTATGAAATTATAAGTTTGAAATTATCAATTGAATAATAATGTGAATTTTTGTTAATTGAGTTGCATATCGATAATTTTTTTGGATAAATAATATAGGTGTCATGCACAAAAAAAAATTCACATTTAAAATTATTATTTTTTACAATCATTTGATACACATTTTTTTTATTGAAATAAAACAAAATAAACTAAAATCTGTTAAAAAATACTTATATCAAAGTCGAAAATATTATTTTTTATTGGAAATCTAAAATACTTCTTATTCATATATGTAAAGTTTGCAACATTTAGTATAAAAAACTTCAATTTTCATCTCATTATATTTCAAAAGTATTATTGCAAAATTTTTAAATTTTCTGTTCAGTTTTGAATTATGTGCATTTTAATCAATCAATATTTCATAGGTAAGTATTAAATAAATATATATATTATTATATATTTATAATTATATAGTGTTTTCAATCAATCTCAACTTTCATACCAAAAATAGGTTTTAATGTTTAAATTTGATACATCAAAATATTATTCAGATGATTATTTTGGAAAAAAATATTAAGTATCAAATATGGACTAGTATAGAATTATTAATCATTGATTTGGATATAAAGTTTTAAATTATTTAAAAAAATCATTTTGATTGAATCAAAGTTTCATTGACAAAGTAAAGTTTGAGTTATTATCTTCTTGTGTGTTTAGATATAAACTCAAAACTTTCACTGCATTCATAATTAAAACCAAACATACGTTTAAATCATTTTATTTTTACTTATAAAAAAACAAAAATGAATTTGTAGTCATTCTTTTTCTTCTTATTGAATTCATATGTAATTAAGTTTTTTATTTATTGAAACCCAATTTTTTTAAATTTATTAATATTAGAATATAAAAAATTTAAAAATATCGAGACCTTCGTGAAATAGCTTCCATTTATACAATTTTTTGATTATTGATAGATAATTTTGTCATTCTTACATGTTATGTAATTAATTAGATTCAAATCAATAATCATGTTTCAAATTCACTTAAGTATTAATTTATACTTTAATATAGCAATCGTTATTAAGAAATATTTGCAAGAACCATTATAAATTATTGTAATAACCTTAAAAAATATTTGAAAATCAATTATACAAAAGACATGAGTGAAAAAAAAATTGCGTTTTAGTTCACAATTAAATACATCTTGTTTCATGAATATAATTCAAAATTTAATAACTTATCTTTTTGAAATACATCATTCATACAAGACATGATAATACAATATTCTGAATATCTCATTCATCGAAAAACATCTATTTATGTGTACAGAAGATTTTCTGCTGTTTTTCTTGGAACTTTCTGTCGCCAAAACACCAACCGTAGAGGTTATTCAAGCATCGCATTACAGAATATATTGTAGATTCTGAAGATGCTACACATTTAGAAACCAGATGCGAGTACTGGTCAAGATAATGAAGAAAGGGAGTGAGCGCTCGAGTAGGAAACGAGTGGAATGGAGTGCAGTTGAAGAGTGCAGCTGCGGCAAAGGCGAGGCGACGCGTGAAGAAGAATCATGGCAGCATGGCACTGCGACATTATGAAAGCGTGCAATGATGCGAGGCGGGACTTCGAGCGAGCACCACCATGCTCACGATCTCCCTCCATCGTCGGCAATCGAAGACGATCCCTCACTCTGAGACGGAACCGGACACCGCTCGTGCCAAGAATTCGGTGCATGGCCGGCACTCCATCGTCGAGGTGGCTTGGCTGCCGCCGAGTCTTCTTCCTCACCTACGTTGCTGTTTCGACACATAGAAGTCCATCGAAGGCCGCACTCTCCTGCTAGCTAGTGGCTCCGAGCATGCTTTCGTTCATGTACCTTCGACACTCCATCGAGGCAGGAATCTGGGAGCATTTTGTTGCCACAGGCCTTGTGCAGATTTTCTCAGAGTCCTTCACCATCTTTGCGGCACGCAGGGCGTTGCTCGAAGATACGATCTGTAATACTTAGATCTTCAGATGTGGTGAAATTTGGGAGGTCAATCCTTTCGTTAAGTTTAATCTGTGGTTAGAAATGCCTGTGACATCTGTACGACACATGAGGCCCTCAAATTCTGGTTTCAACTCTGTCGAAGTCAGATATGCGTCTTCAAATCGGTATCCAATAGACAAGTTAGGGGCGAAAGTGTCGAAGGCTCGGGGTCGTCTCTGTATTGTTGTCCTCGGACCGACGACAGGATTTCTCTCAACTTTCTCTGCAGCTATTAAGTGTTCAGGATCCGTAACCCTCACAACGAGCTACCAAACAACTCAGGACTGTAATCTGTATTCTCAAGACTGCGAGGAGGTACCTTTGGTCACCTCGGTTCACGGTGGCTAGAGAAAGGATACGACTCACCAAGAGGTTTGTATATTGTTGTTCCTCACATATTCTATTTGGCCAGTGGCATTCCCGAACTGCGCTTTTACTTAGAGATGGCAGATCATACTGGCGAGAGGAAATCATGTAAAACCTCGACGAGAGCCAGATCCTCTGCTCTCAGAACTTGCAGCCGCAGACATAGCCGATTTCTGCGGTGTATATGTCAGTTGCATCAACTCAAACCGGACGGAGAATTGGATAAGAAGCAAGTAGGCGATGAGCATCCAATCAAGTAGCCCAGACAGTACATCTTCACCTAATCACGATTAGCCCATCTGTCCAAATATGCGTTCATCATCGGAGTCCGAAGGAGAAGTCGCTGGGAAAGCAAATTGTACACAAGGACAAACTGATGCAGTCCTCTGTCTAATCCCTCGAAGCTTCAAACAGTGTTTCTGTACGAGATGTCCCTAGATGGTACGACAAAGGTTCATCACGATGGCCAATCTTGCTGCCTATACTGCTCTGTACTGGGTCGCCGTTTCGTGAAGAGAACGCCTAGAGGATTGTGCACTGACCTAGATACGATTACCTCAGAGCCGTATCACCATGGATCCTCTGACCTCTTGTTTACATCAGCAGCTTGCAACAGTGACCGAATCCCACATATTTTAACGAAGACAGGTTTCTAGCTGGGAGAGACAGCTGCTGGCTGATCCTGACCAGTACTTATTAAATCTTCCTTCTGATCGGGAAGCCTCAATCTCAAGGAGAAGAGTCTTCCCAGAATTCCGCGCCAATCTTCTGTATGAACATGTTGGAAATGAGGCCAGTTTTGCGTTTGACGTGTTCTGCAGTTGGAAGAAAAGCGGGGTTTCATGTATACACATGTCAACCTGTGGCTTACAGCTGTGACAGAAAGTTATCTGGTGATTCCGTCATAGCCGAAAATGGCTGATGCAAGTTGCGAGTATAATTATGCACCGCCCGCTCTGTGCCGAGTCCCAGTGATTGAGGGTCTGAAGAGAGAAGCTTTCCAGTGTCCTCGTCGCTATCTAGATCAGCCAGCACGTACTCCGAGCAGCCAGCCAGCCACCAACAGGGATCAGATGACAGTCAGAGGGCAATGTAACGGTAGGATCAATGGATATCATGAGGGCAATCCGGTCAGATGAAGTGAGTTCTTTGAGTGGAATGTGTAATCTGGAAAGTGCATCAAGAGACATGACTGCATGATGCACAGCATCGGCGTTCCGGGGGTCCGCATTTCTCGCTCTTCTCACACTATGAATGCTGGTCATCATGCGATCAGGTGAAAAGTGCATAATCATCATCAGATATGGAACAATATCCCCTGCAGGTCTTGTATAATACAGTACTGACTCGTCGATCTTGCCAAAGGTGGAATGCATCATTGCGGATGTGAATTCGCCCTACAAGTTCATTCGGCATCTAAAGTCGGCCACATGGACATGAGTGCAACCGCTTGATGAGTGAGTGCCCAGATTTTGCTTTATGCTCTAGCCTTGAAGGGAGATTTTATTTTTTACACTTATTGACAAGAATCAATAGCCAAGTGCAACCTGAATGGATTCCAGTGTCTTGGGCTTAGGTCGCTTCAGAATGAGTTGAAAGGAAGAGAATGATTAGAGATAATTACTCGATGTAGAGGCGCATCACGTCTGTTGTTGACTGATCTCACTCTCGGCTGGAATATATCGAGCACGCTGTGCAAGCAGTAATCATCTCTTGCACGCGTAACTGTGACGGTTACCTTCGCTGCGGCGTGCTCTCGAGTCCAATTCATGCAACGAGCAATAAGTCAGAGGCCGATTTGTCGTACCAGCAAGGCATCAGTGTTGCAGTCCGAACTATGATGATGAAGAAGACCGCTGCGATGGATGAAACTGCAACCTTCCCCTTTTGTTGTCATGCGCCAAAATATGATGCTCGCTCGCTTGTCGGTGGAGCAGTATAGCGGAGATCAGAGCCAGAAACTGGAACCAGAATCTGAGGTCTCAGTTCCGTTTCGATGCACACTTGGATGATGAAACATTTAGAATTGACAACAGTCTGCATAAATGTTTCGAGGGGTCACCACTTGAAGAACTAGTAAGAGTCACAATCTCCAGAAGAGATGCTGTTGGAATCTCATACAATCAGGAGGTGCAAAGGTCTTCCAAAGCATTTCAGGACAAGTGGAGAGATCTGCGTCTTGATGTCTAAACCTGCAGTTCGTCATCCAGAGCTTCGACGCACTTTTTAAGAACGAAATTGTGCCTCGTAATGGGTTCCTGAACCTGAATTGACTTGACTGTTCTGCCGATCTCGTCTGGTGGCATTCTAAGCAGGTGAAATTGAAGGGCATTTTCTTCTCAAGTACAACTAATACTAATTGCGTCTAGACTTGTGGAAGCCTCTGCTCTGTCACCTCAGCTCTATAGATAGTCCCTGAGGATTGGATGACTTTTTTCCCCAGATTTCATATACCTCCCCTTTCTGAAGGAGGTCCCACGTATACTTCGGTAAGACGATCCATTCTTTGCACGATTGGTTAGAGTGGCTCACCCTCTAGCCGGAAGAGGATCTCTAGCTGGAAAGATCATGCCAATCATTGTCATATGATGATAAAAATATCCCGATTTATGACTGTAACACGTTTCCAGACAAATTTTCCTCCTCCTATCTGTCGAGATGAATTCTCTGTGAAGCTGTCAAGGCGGAGCACTTGGACTCGGATCGGATGCTTCGTTCGGATCTCAAAAAAGTTAATCGCGCAAACACAGGACTGCTTTGTGTCCTACCGGCCCATCGCCGAGAGCATGGAGCTTAGCATGTTTCGCAAGTCAACTTCACAGATTTTGGAAAGGGAAAGAGGAAGGGCAGTTGGTATCTCCCACCCTCCCTCTGCGCCGATGCACATGCATTTCATCATTCCCGTTCACCACAAACTTTCATCTCGACGGTGTATCTGGATGAAGTGCGGGTAGTGTAGCAAAAAATACTTCGGCAATCAAAGACTTCCCACTCCACACGTCCAGATCTAACAATGCTCTGTGGGCAGATTGTAACAAAGAAGAATCTCGGTTGACGAACCAACTAACTCAATAATATCTTACAAAAAAAATTTGTCGACCCTGTATGACAAGCTTCTTCTTCAACTCTGCTGGACCTCAATGCCTCGGGTAATACAGAAAACCACTCCGTGGCATGCGTTAATATATATGCGTTCATTGTGGAATTTCGAGCAGATACCAAGATAGTACATATGTGGTGGAAAGTCTACATCTCGACTTTCCACTGCTTTACAGAGCTTGTTAGCTGAATCGTGTCAGTGATGAATTGTTCGCTGGAAATATTATCACTCTATGGAGATTGGTTTAGAGAGCTATCAGAGCATTCAAACGAGAAATGATCTTATTGATCAATACTGGGCTAGCCCCTCGAGAGAAATAGGACTCGTGCACTCTTTCTGGCTGGGTTTCTGTCGCAAGTCCGACCTTGTACTTTTATTGGTCCTAGGTGTCGTCGGCCACTTCTTTCCTCAAATTAATTATGCTTTCGCAGCAAAATTGATCAGACAAGGCAAACGGAAAAACGCATCCAGCTGCCATGGGATTACTGTTACTGCCATTGACGTTTGTACAGAGCTAGGTAGTACGTAGCACAAATTTATTGGAGTCGGTTCACCCGTAGGCAAAACAAATGTGATGCGAATCGATGAGTTGCTGAAAGATGATACGAAATGTATAAGGACTACAACGTTTGAAGGTCAGCCATTGTCAAGCAAGGGATGCAATCGAGTTCTGCCAGCTCTACTACTCCTTTACCTGGAGCTCCAAGGTACGTGGAATCTAGCATATGCCATAAATTAGCTCTTTTCTGTTAAAACCAAGCATCAACACTCAAAACCTCATCAAAAGACGTCACCGTAGATCTCGGCCGTTTTCCAAAGCTGGACGTGGCCACTTTTGCTCATTGACCTGCGACGATGCTCGACATGAGTCAGTCAGTTATTCAAGATACGTGCGGCATCTTTGAGTTCCAGTTCCGAGCCTGCTCCCGGTGCAGGCCAGAAATCATTCTAGGAATCACATGCGGCGATTTGGAGTTTCGAACCATCGATGGGCGAGCAAAAGTTCGCCTCGGAATTCAAAGTGAACTTTTCTCGGACAACAAGAGATTGCTTCTTAAAAGTCTCGTGAGGCGAAAAAGCTTCCGTACCATGTCGACACGAGCACCTCGCGAAAGCAGTGCAAGAACGATTTAGATTTGTTCAGTCAACGTCGTACTGTGGTGCCTTCGGAGACACAGACAGGGAATTTAAGGAGCTGGGGGGTGAGCAGAGGCTCAACTCGACAAGGCGAGCTGAGCTGAGCTGGGTAGCTCTCCCATGCAATCGATGCACCACGCATGGTACAGAAGAATCAAGGAGGCCAGCAGATCCCGCTATTTCATCAGAACAAAATGCTGGACACGATTGCCTCGATCGTCGATTCGAGTGAGTGCGTCCAACCAATAATCGGTGCAATCCCCGCGAGAATCAGACTGCGGATGCGCCAATTCCAATTCTACTTCCTCCGACCTCACCGAGTCTGATCCTTACGGAAGGATTCGTGCATAATTCCGATATGCTGAATCCCGTCTAAGATTCTCTTTGCGCTCCGGAGCATCTCCCAAAGGCGGCCCGATCGTACCTAGCAGTGAGTGAGTGAGAGGCAACCTACCAGCTCCTCCTCTCCTTGCAGCTGGTTCATGCAGACCGTGTGAAACAACAACGCCACCCACGCGAGTCTTGTGTAAGCTCGTGGAAGATCGATCTCCGCTTCACGAACCGTGGGTGGACATCGATACCTTCATCATCATAGGTACAGAAGCGCGCTCGGCCATCTCTCGAGGAGAAGTCTTAGCAATTTAGACCTGGTTCGGTACGTGGAGCAGCTGCAGAAGTGGAATGAACTCGGCTGTAGAAACGGTTTACATCAGATCTCTCGAGAGCAAAAATTCGTTCCAAGGTCTTTATTGAGCTCAGCGTAATAACTTCGCTGCTGCTGCTTTGCCATCAAGCTGGGGACTTGACGGAAGTCGATATACTACGAATGAAACCTCGTCCCTGCAAAACATGAATCTGATTCGTAATCGCAGGAGGGCTGCGTTAATCTCATATCGTCAAGCAGCGGCTGAGAGATCCTCTTCGCTTCGCTTACGATCATCATAATCACGCAAGCACTCATGGTCGCTTGAACCAGTGCAGTCGCAATCTGCAGCTGCACTTCCGTAAGGACCTGAGAAATCATCGAGCAGAAATGGTCGCCGCCGCCGCCGCAGCAGCACCACTGAGCTCGAGGAGCTTCGACGACGGTCCAGTTCTAGTGAAGCAGAGGTTTCCACTCGGGCCATTGACGATCGGCGTGTTCACGTACGTCCTGCTGATCGTGCTGCTGCTGGTTCAAGTTTCGGTCGACGACATGACCAGATTTTACAGCGAGTACTCGGATCCGAGGGCGAGCTTGAGCTCGAGCTCGCTGCGATGGGTGCAGTACCCGACCATGGACACCAACGAGACCGAGCAGCTCATGGATCGATGGCGAGCTCTCGAGTCCAACGAGTGCCACGGGGTCGGCACCGGGAGCATCCGGCTCCTGGGGCCGGTCGGGCCGGTCGCGTCGCGGAACGGAAGCGTCGCGGACACGATGCGACTGGTCGCGGGGCCGGCGCACGAAATCGTCTGGGAGTCGATCGGCGACGACGGGCGGCGGCGCTGCGTCGGCGGCGACTTCTTCGAGGCGGACTTGAGCGGGCCGCGCTGGAAGTCGCGCCCGCCCGTCCTGGACCACGACGACGGGACGTACACCATGACGGTGCAGGTGCACCCAGAGTTCGCCGGCGCGCGCTTCCACCTCAACGTCACGCTGCTCTTCGACAACCTGCACGGCCTGGCGCTCCGTCCGAAATCGCGCGCGCGCCTGACGCAAGTCCTCTCGCTGACCATCGACTACGTCCGCCCGCCGCCGCCGCCGTCGACGGGAAAGCCGTGGACATCGCCGGTGGGGCTTCCCGAGCTGAAGCTGTGCACGAGGGCGGATTTCGGGAGGAAGCATTGGGCGGGGCGATGGACGAGGGACGACGAATTCGAGTGTCCCATCGACGAGGCTGGGCGATATGATTGCTTGGATCCGGAGCTCGATTGCCCGAGGCCATGGTGCCGAGGGCCCGTGGCTAAGCTCGAGAGCAGCGGATGGGTTTACTCGGCCCACTGCGCGTTCAGAATCTTCCGGGCCGAGGAAGCGTGGCGGTGCTTGAATGGGACGTGGATTTTCGCCTGGGGCGACTCGAATATGATCGACAGCATCGGCAACCTTCTGCGATTCGTGCTGGGGCTGAATGACACTCCGGCGCGGCTCGATCGCAGGATGGATCGCGTCTTTCGCTGGCCGAGCGACGAGCGACTGTCCGTCCGCATCACTAGCGTCTTCAATGGCAGCCATAATGTGTCGAAGAACTGGGAGGGTCTGTTCTCCCTCCATGACGAGGACTATCGGAGCTACCTTCGTTCGTTTTTCGCCGATGGCAAGCTTCCTGACTTTATGATTATGAATTCGGGCCAGCATGATGGTCTGTACTGGAGAAGCGCCGACAGCTTCCTCATCGACGGAGTGCAGCATGCTCTGAGGTTCTGGAAAGAAATCTGGCAAGGCATGGGTTCGTCTAAATTGCCGCATCTCATCTACCGCACCACCGTCGCCTCGGCAGGAAGGCATCGTCCCGAGCCCAACAATCCGGAGAAAATGGAGTTCTACAACCACCTGATTGTGGACCAGCTGATGCGACTCGATCTTCCCAATCTGCACATCGTCGATAGCTACGACCCGACTTTCCCGTGGCACTACGGAAATCGACACAGCGATGGTGTGCACTACGGTCGCACTCCATCCAAGTCCAAGTGGGTCGATGGTCAAATTGGCCACCAGTACTTCGTAGACTTGATGCTCGTTCACATTCTACTGAACTCCATGTGTGCAGCCTGATCGGCCGCAGCAGTAGCCGTATGCCTCCAGGACGGTTTCTCCACAGTCTGGAGGCCAGACATTGTCTGCATGCTCGTGCACTTTACATCAAACCCTTTCCTAAGACCCAAATTACAGTTTCAGACAGAAGCACCACGAACATTTATATTACAGTTTGTGCCAAATGGCTAACTTCGCGTTCTGCTGTCCAGGATTTGGATGTACCGAAAGAATAGCAATGCTAAGAATTTCAACCTGACCAAACTAACATGGGCATAAATATGCAAATTACAAATATGCATATACATAGAACTCATATGATCACAAAAACGCCCAAATTTAAGTTATCCAAAAAATACACAGATGATCCTATGGTGTCGAGAACACCATAGGATTGGAATGATATACTTTAACGTATATCTTGTCGAGGCAAAACGTGAATCGAAGACGTGAATTTTGGTTTAGGATAACTGCTGGTTCTAAATCAATTCAAGCAAAAGTCGGGGATAGCTTACGGTGTAGAAATCAAATAAGACTTTTGTCAATTTCTGTTGTATTCTTATGTTGTAAGAGTCTTTGAGGGACATTGATTCATGCTTGCTAAAGTTTTCAAACTATCATCTGATATGTTTTCACCTATTACTAAATTATTTGGTATGTGGACCGCAAAAGAAAAGCTATACACTGTAAAACCTTGATTCTTCGCAATCTCATCAAGTTGACCGATGCATATACGCATGTAGAATGGAGCTGAATACATGACATCAAATGGATTGCTTTCAATCAAATAAAGTTTAATTTTTATTTCTACTATAAGGTTATGATATCCAATCGTCCATAAGTCAAAGTCATCTCATATTCTTTTTGTAATTGCTGTACCCATCAATCAAATATTTGTTGGTTGCTTAACGTACTTATCTTAAGACTTTTTTTTATCTATATCTGCCAATTTAATTCATTTCAATACACATTTCAAAAATTTTCCAAACCTGTTTGATGTCATGTAGTTTTTGGTGTTTTGCTAAAAATAGTGTTAAATTTAGGGTTTGGGTCGCGAGGGTATACAGTCGGGGACGGCTCGAAAAATGTCAGTTCTTCGAGTCAAGCCTAGCGCGTTTGAAATACTGCCCGAGAGCATCGACATGCAATCTCCAAGTGTGAAGTGGATTTCGTTTAACTATGTTTGTGACGGTGACGGTTTTGCAAATAGGGTAAACAACCGAAGGGAATTCCAGTGGGGAATCTCCCGTTTATTTCACTCGAAGAACTCACGGATTTAGTTTCTAAGTAGTAGAATTCTTCAAAATTCGCCTTTTAAGCAGTTTTACAGGTTACGTAATTCCAGAAATTTTGATTAATTTCTCGTCAGGTTTCGGTGTTGAATGGTGTTACAGCAACGGTGCAAACATTTGATTTGAGGAGTGGAAAGCGAGTCGGTGTAGTTGGCCTTGTACGAACTCGAGTTTGCTCTGAAGGATGGTGAGTTAATTTCGAGGAAGTCGAGGTTGAGTAACTCTCGTCATCGAAGAAGGGGATGTGATAGTTGATTCGTTAGGTTTGAGGAAGAAGGTCGTATTTCTTCAGTGTTAATTGTTATTTACCATCGCGGCCTAGGGTAATCTGGAATTTGCGTGTTAGAGATATGTGAGTCAGTGGGCTGCGAATGGTGTTGGTTTGGTAGCTGCTGTTTCCGTGATGTGGAGAGTTTTTTTCGGTGGAAATAGAAGAGTAATTTCTTTTCACAAATTGATTTCAAGTGAAGGAATAGGCCTCGCGTATCTTTGGTGGAAGAGAGAGGGAGGTGCTTTTTGAACGCACTTCGTTTTCATTTTCAACACAGGCGTTTCAGAGATTATTGTGGGTTTGGGAACTAAACATGACATCTGTGACGTCGGTAGTCGAGATACATCCAGTAGGGGCACAATGGCAGAGCGCCCTTTAGTAAAATTGGGAATTTCTAGAAGAATTCAGGATGGATACTTGCTGGAATAATAATCGACTGTATGATGACATTGCAGTTGTGCCCTCTAACCGGAACCGCAGAACGATAATACTGTTTGGTATAATATTTTGGTTTTGAACGATAATATTGCTCTTTCTGCGTTTGGTCGTCACGTTCGAAATGAAAAGTTGAGTCGATCTTACGTGCGACGGGAAGGGTTGTTGATGTGGTATGTCTAGATCTGTCAGGAAAGTTCAAAAACTGATGCCCTTCGTCAGATTTACTTCTGAACCAAGTGTTGAGTGAATTGCCGAGAATATTATTCGTTCTGAGAGTTTAGTTGCTTCGTGTATGTTTCACGGAGGGAATTTGTGAATTTCGAAGTGAACACCAGCGACCGAAGGCAAACTGAAAGAGAGAAAAAAGGAAAGTAGAGTAATTGCTGGGATTGGAAGGAAGGAGTGGGATCCACACCTTCTGTGCTAGGCCATAGATAGTTGGCATGAAATTCGAAGTGCAATACTCAGGTTCTACACGGCTACCCACAGTTCCTATCTGGAGGACTGTGCTTCATGAATCTATCGGAGGGTACTCAAATCTGTCAAATGTAATGTGTTAGGGCAACGTGGACGACGAAAATAAAAAGAAAAAAAAGAGAGGTACATTCAGAGTTTTATTTACAGGAAGTGGAAGTTGTCAAGAGTGATTACCTTTGAGTCGGCTGTGTGTACAACATTTCGTTCATGGTAGGGTACAGGTACAGGCGGATGCACAAAACCTGTAGAGTAATTTCAGTTTCAGATCAGTACGTGTTTCGTAGGGGTCAGGTTTGACTTGACCAAAAGTAGCAGAGACGGAATTCAGCCATATGATATTCAGCCAGGAAACAGCGACATATCTCCCGATAGTGAGGTATCGAGTTTTAGATTTGTGACTCTTAAATTTTATTGCTCCTGTAAAAGTATGGCAGGAGTGCTTGCTCGAATCAACATTCCAGCCATAAAAACGTAAAAGAAAAAAAAATGTGTCAATAGCTCTATTACTCCCACGTAGAGCCCTTGCTTCAGTTCTGCGAAGTCGAAGGGAAGGGAGAGGAAAGGCTGTGGGGTCATGTAAGTTTCAAATGCGGAATAGTTTTGCATTGCAATATTGTCCGCCATTATCAGTTTAGGCTGAAACTGTAGGGAAGGAAGAAAAGTTAGCCTAGATGCGCACTAATGATGCTTCCGACAAGGTGGGCAGAGTGAACAAAGGTTGCGAAGTGGGTCCTTGCTAGTTAAGCACATTGGTTTGCAATCTCTTGATATCAGATTGTGCTGTTTGCAGAGGTAAAGCATCTCTTTGCCTGAGTTATTATTAGCTTATAATGCATTCAATGTGAGTGCCTATAAAGAGCTATTAGAGGGAAATGTAGTTAGTGAAGAGGTGAATGGAGATCAAATTCCTTATACTTCTTTGTGGGCTATTGGAGCCTGACATTTCCCTTCTATTATATCGTATCAGTTTTCAGTGATAAAATGGAGCAGTGCTAAGTTTGCAGTAGAAAATTTCGAATTCACTAGTTAAAGTGAATTTGTTTATGCAAAGTTCTTTGAAACTATTAAAACCTTTAAATAGTTTTATAGTTAAACAGTTTTCAGTTTTCCCTTCAGATTTAGTTTACAGATACTCTGTAAACAATCCTTGTACAGAGTGAAGTGTTGTCGTGTGAAAGGAAAATGCCGTTTGGAGAAAAAGCGGATGACAGTGATACACAAGAAATCTAGACAGTGGAAGTCATCAGCAACAAGGAACGTGATCAGGAGCACGAGGTGGTAGAAGAAAAAAATTCCGGGTTAGATTGGGACGAGGCACTAGCCGTAGAAAAACTTCTAGAGCAATCCGGCCTAGAGTACAGGATATGTGAGGATGAATTACTCGACCTTCCAAAGGATATTCCTGATCATTTGAGAGATGTTCAGTATATTCAAGATTGTCTTTCAGAAGAAATTCTTGTACTAGAGAAATTTCTTGATAGTCTTCCATAGGATTGATAACAACTACCTGTAGCGTTTAGAAAGGAGGTACTGAAGGGATCGGGAGTTTGCACCCGATCTCACTACCTGTAAACTTGATGTTTTGAAAGCATTGTAAATATATATATGATGTAGTCAATATATTGAGCTTTCAGTGTGTAATGTGTTTGTTGAGGGGCAGTGTGACCCCTGTGTGAATGAGAAAAAAAAAGAAGAAGTTTTCAAACAATTTTTGTTTGCAATTTGGTGGAAGAAGGCATCGTAGGCGCTGGAGGCCCAAGTTGATGGTGGGCGATGGAGATCGAATCGGGATCGCGAAGCGATGCGATGTCCCGTGTGTGTTGTCTTGTTTGGTGCTGTGTTTCCTTTAGACTGGAGAGTCGTTGCTAGCTGTTTGCTTGTGTTTGGATCCTCTCCAGTCTTGCTTCTTGGTGGGCGCCCGTGTAGGGGTGACGCTGATTTCCGGAGTAGTTTTACTTCTGTGTGCTGTCGATAGAGGGCTGGACTTGATCACCGGCCGGCCTATCTATGTTTCTCTCACGGTGAGACTGGAGTGATGACCAGTAGATCGTGAAAATCTTCTTGCTGTGATGACAAGTTAGGTTGCCCATACCTCTTAGTTAGTAGGGCTAGAATAGCTCTGTGCGGCACGACGTCAGGTGCACATAGGGTTATTGGGTGGAGATCTGGCCGTGATTCCAGTTGAGGTTTCGTCATCACGGAGTAGTCTAGTGGTCCTGTTGAGGACCGCGGTGGATTTACGCGGAGTGGGCTGAGGTATCGGCTACCTTCACCTATTTCGCCAGTTGTTGCAGAGAAGGACCAGAGTGTTGCAGACACAAGGTCTTTGATGGTGATATCGTCTAGTGTTCCAACCCCATTGATTTGGAACATGGACGGGATGTACGGGACCGTGAAGGGCCCTTCACGTTACTCCGGTGCAGTGGGCACCATCGAGCTCGATGATTTTATTCAGGAGTTCGACACGTGGTGTGATATGCAGTTTCTACGTAACCCCATGTTGTTTAGACCCTTCTTTGCATGGAAGGGGTTATTTCAGCATTTGGAGGGGACTCCCATGGACGATTATCATGAGTTTGGGAGAGATTATGTTGCGGAGATTGATGCATGGAGGCGCCATTGGTCTCCGAACTACTTATCCATTACCCAAGGTGGGGTGGATACCCGTGGAGGTGCGAGTATCGGCATCAGTGGAGGTGCAAGTAGTAGCATCAGTGAGGGTACCCGTTGAGCAGTTGGCACAACTAGTACCAGTACCAACAGCGGTATTGTTAGCATTACTAATGGCAGCACGAGGGGAGATGCTAGTGGTGTACCTTCATTTAGCCTCATTCCTGAGTTCTTCCAGAGATTGAGGAAGAATTATTAGGGGATGAAGACGGAGAAGTTGAAGAGCCTCCAGGAGTTTGAGCGGAAGACTGGTGAGAGTCTTCGTGAGGCATACACTCGTATGCGACGGCTAATCTCGGTTACTCACGGTGTGACTGAGGCAAAGGCTGTCCAGTTCTGGTATCGGATTCTGGACAAAGATTTGCGGAGTAGAGTGCGTGATGCTACTCTCATGAGTGTCTCATCACCCACATTAGCTCATGTGTTTGCTCTTTTTGAGAATATTGAGCTTA